AACAAGTATCCATAAATTTAAAAGGATTGAAATTATACAAAGTATGTTCTCTTACCATAATGGAATAAAATTAGAAATTAATAACAGAAGTAAATTTTGAAAATGTATAGGTATGTAGAAATTAAACAACATATGTCTAAATGACAGCTGTGTTAAAGAAGAAATCACAAGGGAATTAGAAACACTTTGAGATAAATAAAAATATAAATACAACATACCAAAACTTAGGGGATGCAGAAAAATCAGTGCTTAGAATCAAACTTACAGCTTTAATAACCTACATGAAAGAAGATGATCTCAAATCAGCAATCTAATCTTTTACCTGAAACAACTAGACAGAAAAGCAAGTTAAACTCAAAGCAAACAAAAGGAAGAAAATAACAAAAATTAGAACAGAAATGAATGAAATGAAATAGAGAACAGAAAAATAATAGAGAAATATCAACAAAACCAAGAGTTGGTTTTTTGAAAAGATCAACAAAATTGATAAATCTTTAGCTAGACTAGCAAGAAAAAAAAGACTCAAATGACTAAAATAAAGAATGAAACGAGGAAGAACTACTGACATGAAGAAATAAAAATGGGTTATAGAGGAATACTATGAGCAATTATATATCAACAAATTAAGATAACCTAGGTGAAATGAACAAATTCCTAGAAAGACACGAATTACTGAAACTGACTCAAGTAGACATAAACATCTGAATAGATCTATAACAAGTAGAGAGGTTAAATTAGCAATCAAAAAACTTCTCACGAGAAGCCCGGCCCAGATGGCTTCACTGGTGAATGCTAACAAATATTTAAAGAATTTTAAAACTTACCCCTTACAAACCCTTGCAGAAAATAAATGAAAAGGGAATTCTTCCAAACTCATTCTATGAGGCCAGTATTACCTTAATCCAAAACCCGGAAAAAGAAATCACAACAAAACAAAACAAAACAAAACACTACAAAGCAACATCTTTTATCAATGGAGATCTAAAAATCTTTGACAAAATACTAGCAAATAGAATATAGTGACAAATAGAAAGTATTATACACCATGAAAAAGTGGGATTTATCCCAGGAACACAGAATTGATTTTACACTTAAAAATCAGTCAATATGATGTCATATCATATTAATAGAACAAAGGACAAAACCCACATGGTCACCTCAACAGACGCAGAAAAAGCATTTGACAAAATCTGACACCATATCATGTCAAAAGTACTTAATAAACTAGGAATAGAAGGGAATTTCCTCAAGATGATAAAGGGCACCTATCAAAAGCATACAACACACTTAAAGGTGAAAGACTGAAAGTTTCCCCTGCAAGATTGGGAACAAGATTGGAATATTCACTCTTAGCCACGTTTATTCAACATTGTACTAAAGGTTCTGAGAAAGAGAAATCAGACAAAGAAAAGAAATAAAAGGATTCCAGATTAGAAAGAAAGAAAACCATCTATTTTCAGATGACATGATCTTGAATATGTAAAATCTTAAGAAATCTACAAAAAAACTTAGAACTAGTAAGTTCAGCAAAGTTTCAGGATGCAAAATCAATACACATTCTCTAACTTGTCTGAGAAAAAAGGAAAAATAAATACACACAAAATCAGTTGTATTTTTATGTATACCTGCAATGAACAATCCAAAAATGAAATTTAGAAAACAATTCCATTTATAATAGTACCAAGAAGAATATGACATTTAGGTACAAATGTAACAAAATAAGTGTAATATTTGTACATTAAAATGACAAAACATTATTGAAAGAAACTAAAGAAGACCTAAATATATAGAAAAGATATCAGAGTTTCATGGATCAGAGGACTTAGTGTTGTTAAGATGGCAATTCTTCCCAAATTAATGTATAGATTTGATGCAATCCCTATCAAAATTACAGTTGTCCTTTTGGCAGAAATTGATGAGCTAATCCTAAAATTCATATGTAAATGTAAAGGACCCAGAATAGCAAAAAAAAAAAAAAAAAAAATTGCAAAAGAAGAGTAAAGTTGAAGGATTTATACTTCCTAATTGTAAAACTTGCTATAAAGCTGCAGTGACCAAGACCGTATGGTACTAGCATAAGGATAGACATACAGACCAGTAGGATAAATGGAGAGGCCAGAAATACACCCATTCATTTAAGATCAACTGATTTTCAACAAGGGTATCAAGACAACAAATGAGCCAAAGAATATTTTTTTAAAAAACAAATGGTGCGAGGACAACTGAATAGCCACGTGCAAAAGCACGATTTTGTAACGTGACCTCACATGATACACAAAAATTATCTCAAAATACATCAAAGAGCTACAAGTAAAAGCTAAAACAAAACAGTCAATTTTTCTCTCCTAGAAAAAGACATGAGTAAATCTTTGTGACCTCAGATTAGCTGATAGTTTCTTAGACATGACACTTAAAGCACAAGGATCCAAAGAAAAACACAGATGCACTGACTTCATCAAAACTAAAAAACTTTTGTGTTGCAAAATGATTCCATCATGAAAGTGGAATGACAACTCACAGAATTGGAGAAAATATTTGCAAATCAAATCCAATAAGGATCTACCATGCAGAATATATTTTAAAAACTCATAAAACTCAGCAATGAAAGGCAAAACCCCAATTAAAAAATGGGCACATAATTTGAATAGACATTCTCCAAGAAGACATACTAGTGTCCAGTAGGCTCAAGAAAAGATGCTCAACATCATTAGTTACTAAGGAAATACAATCAAAATCATAAGATACCACTTCACACCTACTGGAATAGTTATAAATGTTGGCTAGGCTGTGGAAAATTGGAATCCTCAATCATTGCTGGTGAAAATGTAAAATGGTACAGTGGCCTTGGTGAATAGGTTTGACAGTTTCTCAAATAGTTCATACAGAATTTCTGTATGACCTGACAATTCCTGGGAATGCCCAGATAGGTATATACTCAAGAGAACTGAAAGCCTATGTTCACACGAAAACGTGTACATGAATGTTTACCATAGCATTATTTATAGCAACAGTTAAAAAGTGGAAACAACCTAAATGTCCACCAACTGATGAACAGATAAACAAAACCTGGCATCATGTGCCACAAGGTGGTACAATGGAATGTTACCTGGCCATAAAAAGTAATCCTACACCATAAATGAACCTTGAAAACATTAGGCTAACTGAAAGAAAAGGCCATATATTATAATTCCATTTAAATGAAATGTCCAGAATAGGCCAATCTTTAAAGCCAGAAAGTATATTAGTGGTTAACAAAGAATGAGGGAAGGGGAAATGGGAAATGGCTGCTAATGGGACCAGAGTTCCTTTTTGGGGTGATAAAAATGTTCCGGAATTAGAGAGTGGTGATGGTTGTACAATCTTACAAATATACTATAAAGCACCGAATTGTATACCTTAAAAGGGTGAATTTTATCTCAATTTATAAAAGTGCCAAAAGGGAAAGCCAAAAAAAAAAAAAAAAAGGATACAGTAGTATAGGTTGTTATTATCTAACACCACTATTTGTGGGAAAGAAGGATGCAGTCACTTTATACTGTTGCTTACATGTACATAGAATAATTTTGCTAGGATACACAAGGAAGTGGTAACATTAATTACCACTGAGGAGGGCAACTGGTATCTGGAAGACAGAGATGAGAGAGAGTTTTTCACTGTTACAGACTTGTTTCTTTTGAATTTTGTACCACATAAATGTAACATCTATTTTCAATTATAAAAGCTGAACCAATAACAATAGCTACCAGTCATTGAGTGCTTACTATGTGCCAGGTCATTTAATCTTCATAATGACAGTCTTTTGTCCTGTTTTTAGGACAAAAGGATATATTATCTCCATCTACAGAAAAGGAAACTGAGGCATATAGAAAATAAATTATATGTCCAAATGAATGCAGCTATTAAGCAGCAGAGTTAGAATTTCAACCCAGCCTATCTGGTTCCAGAGTCGTTGTCTGGACTACTACTCTATATTACCTCCCAGAAATTTAAAGGAATGAGGGAGGAGGACAGAGGGGAAAGTGGGTGAGAAGAAAGAAAGGAGGAAGTAAGATGGGAGGAATGCAAGGAAGAAGATGGAGGGAATAGAGGGACAAGAAGAAGAAAGGTATCAAGAGGGAGAAAGTGGAAGGAGGAAATGTATAGATTAGATTGCATGATTTAAAGGGCAAGTACAGGCCTCCCTTTCATAAACATCTCCCTTCCTGTCCTTAAAGTTCTGATCTTGGCCATTTGAAGAGAACAGTGAACACTGGGTATAGGAAAGCCTGGTTTCCATGGAAGTCTGCAAAGTCTAGCATCATCTCTGGAATCAAATCTGAGTTAAAAGCGCAGCTGTACCATTTTGTGGCTGTGTTTGTTGGGGTAAATTCTTCCCAGGCTTCCATTTCTTCATCTGTAGTATGGGTACTTGCCTCACAGAGTTGATAGAGGATTTAAACAATGTATTTCAAGCGCAAGTAAGTAAATAACGAATTGCAACTATCATAACATTAGCAAATTCACTCTATGGACACTAGATGATTAGTTATAAAGCATAAGAAACCAATGGAAAGATCATACTCAGTGGAAGAAAGACCATCAAACAGGTAAAGGCCAAAGATAGCAACTCCAAATAGGAGAAAAAGGAAGAAAGCTAAAGTTATACACACTCTGGCAACTTCACAATTTCACCTGGAAATGCCCAAATCACATCGCACTAAGGGGAAATGCATTCCCACAGCCCTTTGTACCTCTGAAAAGACTCCTTGACTTTTTAGGAGCCCATTACCATATCTGTGCCAAAAGAAGGCAACACCAAGGCACTCGCACTACCAGCCTTCCTTAAGTAATGACAACTTCTTTATTAGGGTCATAGTTGTTCATCTGCTAATGGATCCCATCTTATAGAAGATGTTCATCTTAAGGCCTTCCGGCCTCCCAGCTACTCCTGGTTTTAACTTCTGGTAGAGTTGTGCTAATGACTGTTAGGAGTTAAAAAAAGATCTAAGTGGTATGTCTCAGAAAACACAGGCTTTTATTTTGAGAAAGATATAGATAGCAGTAACTGTAAAGGCTAGGATACTTAATATGTACACTATAGCTTTAAAAGGAGAATTTGGGGGCATTTCCTTATGTTATATACAATAAAAGAATCATGGTCCCTTCAGAGTATTGTTTTTTTTTTAACACATACATATTGAGTTTCTTTTGCATCCTTCTCTCCTTGACATCAGCCACTCTGTCAAATCCTGAAAGGAACATAAAGAATGTCCTCAGCAATGACAAATTTAACTAGCAGCCCTGGGAAAGGAGATTTGCAGGGCTCTGAGGAAAGGAAATACATTCTTTCCTGTCCTTTTCTTGCCTAATCTTACCATTCACCTTCATAGACATTATATTGCGACTTCTAAGACCTTTTCCTCTCCTTAATGACCATCCAGTTACTCCAAGGAAACAACTCAATTGCTTTGGCTAAGAGCAAAGAACTTTCTATGCCTAAGGGTTACCAATGCTGAAACAAAGGGCTGAGAGAAGCTGAAGACATTGCTGTTTAATAATAGTAAGGTATTCCTGTTTGTCCAGGCAGGGTCTAGCTAGCACTAGGAAGAGGACTATACTTACCTCTAGAGCAAGGACTAACTTCTTATATCTGTGTGTCCCTTTTTACTTCAGAGGTACAGCCTTTAACTGCTTGTGAGTAAGAATCTGAGACTGTCTTTATGTCTCTCACACAAGGTTCCAGGAAGAAATGCTTACTCTGTATCCTAAATTTCTAAGAGTTATCTTCCTCCAGAAAGTCTCCTGTTATCCAAATCCTGGTGAAGCAGGTATCAAAAGTCCTGATGCTGTCAGTCAGGGACATGAATTCTCTTTTCATATCTCATTACAGAGGCCTTAAGCTCAGATACCCACTGGTGATAGGGCAGGTCACACATCAAGAGAAAAACTCTTTAAAGTACTGAAAGGAAAAGAAGGCACATTAGCTCTGGGATTAGTGCTTCATTCCCCTAACATGCCACTTCATCAGAACTTACAAAGGTCCTCATTCAACATATTCACTCATGACTAGGGGAACAGGAAGGAGTTACTGAAGGTAAAGTGGGCCTGGAAAACTGATTTGGGGATACAGAGGAATTGGAATGTGTTCTAGACTCAGAAGGGCTGTAGGTAGATGTGTCAAATTATAGACTGAACCATAGAGTATAGGTTCACTGAGCAGGGCTAAATGTCAATATTTTAATGACACTGGGTAGTAGCTGGCAAAGGTGGAAAGTTAAGAAACCCAGTCCAGACCTGGATGCAATAATATCTGGAAGGATACATAAGGGAGGTGGAAACTTCCTACGTGGAGAAACAAAGGGTTCAGAGTAAAGGGAGTCAGAGCCAGTAAAAGGGAAAGTAAGGAAGAGATTCAGGTGGCAGAAAGCATCATAGGGTAGAACGAAGTGAGTTAGGTGTTAGTTGAAGGGCAGCTGAGAAACAGGTACCTCGAGGTTTTGGCTGCGAAGCTCTAGGGGAATATGCATGAAGATACCCTCTGGCATTTTCTGTAACATTAGCACATGGCACTCTAGGAATTGGACAAAGCCCTGAGCACCAAATATCGAGGCATTGGTTCTTTTCACCAACTGGCAAGCCTTAGAGAAATAGTGCTCAAAGAGGTGCCACTGTGACTGGAGGAAAAAAGTAACAGCTTTCAGCAATATCCACTGCTTATCAGCCACGGCTTTTGCTTAAAACCGTCACTTCTTTAAGGCTCTAAGACCTCCTGGACAGTCAGAAGTGCAGTGATGCTTGAAAGTGACCAAGGCTATTAACTCACATACAAGGAAACTTAAAAGGAGACCAGTCATATTTAGCCTTGTTATGGGTTACTCTAGCACTTAAATGGAAACCTAAACTTAACCCTTGACCTATAGGCCAAAACATGTTAAAGGACAAGAGCGCTTCTAATAAGACAGGAGGGGTAGGAGGTATATAGGCTTTAAAAGTTGGTTAGAGATGTTCAACAGTCCTGCCTGGTGGAGAGAGATAGCTAAATGGCTTAAATGTCTATATTTTCCCACAGCCTTTGAGTAAGACATTACCGCATGGCCAGGGAGGAGTGGACTCCCAGCATGACGTTGCTCTGAGAGATTAAAACACAGCTGTGCTCATATATTTGAACAAAATGCAGACACTTGCTAAAGGGCCGACACAGCAATCCTGTGAACACAGAAGGTAACCAGGCTAGCATATATTGTTAGTGTAGGAACTAAAGTACAGAAGGTGTGTGACACAGGGAAGGAAACAATACCCCAAAGGTAGACACCCCTGAATCACAGCATGGTACCCAGACTTTAAGGAGCCAGAGGTCAGAGGAAGAGGCCATGCCTGAGGGACAGGTTCATGACTGCCTGTATTCCAAACCTAGAGCCCTATCTGAGGTCTGAATCCCTCAGGAGTACAGCAGAGACCTGTGCAAGATTTACCTTTTCTGTAGAGCAGCAGACCTAAGCAAGCAGGATAAAAGCAGGCCAGGTCAAGGACATCATAACCCTGGGAAATGAGTGCCCACTGACTCTCCAGTACAGGGACACACAGACCAAATCTGCCAAGAGACTGAGCCACTGGGACCAGCTAGGGAGTAAGGAGGATGGGTAGGAAAGGAAGGGGTCTTATACCCTAAAAGCAGCCTAACATCCCCTAGATCTCCTCTTCACAGCTCTATTTATAGAGAACATCTGTGCCTGGGATCAGACCCATCTTTAGGCAAAGGAGGTGGGAATTTGCCTCTGAGACCATTTCCAGGGTCTTGAGCTGCTACAGTTTTCTATCTCCCTGCAGAATTTTCTTTTTGAAGAAAATTTGTCCATGAGCCCCAAGTACTGAGGAATATATAGCAGCTCTGACTTCATTTCCACTCCTGACTCTTCCACACTTAAGATAATGCTTCTGCAGTGGCCAAGGGAAAGATAATACTTCTTCAGAAATGCAGATCTGAAGAGAACTGAGAGGACCAGATTCTCCAGAGCTGGTTTCTTGAGGTATCTGCCTATCTCGCGAGCTTGAAAACCTGAGGAGGTTCAAGAGCACTGTGTGAGGTCTAGCTGTGAGCATGTACTCTCTAAAAGCCCTAGACTCACCAGCTCTAAGTCCCATTACCCAGCTTGATGGAGAAGTCAAGATGGCCAAGGCAGAGCTTGGTGTAGGCAAGGGCCTGCATGAGCTGAGCTGTGACCAACAATCCCTCCCTGGAGAACCAACATAAACTGCTTTTTTGGATGGCCATTTGCTCATTGTGCAGCCACGTCTCCTTGTTGCCCATGGTCTGGGAGAACTGAGAGAGGTCCACGTAGGTAGAGACAACCTGCAGGACAACAAACACAGGGCAAAATATTCCCATTGTACATTCACATGACATTTCCATTTTGTTCCTTTCCTCTGTAAGAGCCTTTTATAGTGCCTTGATGCTCACTCAGTCTGAACTCCTGGTATCCCTACCACTTGCCTCCAACCCAGCTGGAAAAATATGCTCCTTTTCACCCCTGCAGTTCTAATTGAATCATTCTCACTGCCTGTCTTTAAACAAACTGATTCTCTACATGCTTCTGCTTTGCCTCTCCAATCCATGACTTTCACCTTCAAAACAATGATTAAACTACTTCTTTGTCTTCTCTAATTTAAGACCTCTGATATTTGCTGTGTAGAGCTCTTCAGGGCTGCTGCCTAGATTTCTATATAACTACATGCACATTTGACATAGTTAGTGCTCTCTTCTTGGAACACTCTCTCCTAGCTTTCCAGGATGTCATGCTTTCTTGGTTTTCCTCATCTCCCTGGCAGCTTATTCTCAATTTCTTTTGCTGGTTTCTCCTCACCACTCTGACCTTTTGATACTGGAGCTGTTAACAAAGTCCTTGGACCTTTTTTCTTTTCTATACTCATTCCCTTGGTGTTCTCACCCAGTCCTATGGCTTTAAATAGTATTTGCACACTGATGGTTCCCATATGTCTATTTCCAGTGCAGACCTTTCCCATGAACCCCAGACTTGTGTATTCACCTGGACTCGTATTAACCAGTCTCATCTCCACATGGATGTCCAATAGGCATCTAAAATAAAACATGCCCAAAGCCTAGCTCCCAAATCTTTCTCCAAATCTGTTCTTCCTGTAGACGTCCCTATCCCAATTAAGAGCATCTCTATCCCTCTGTAATTTCAACTAACAACTTTTGGGATTATCCTTGACTCTTTCCTTCACATTCCAGAACTGATCCATGAGTGAATCCTGTTGGCTCTATTTTGACAAAAGACCAGCCTCAACTTATTTTCCCACCACCATCTCTTGCTTATATTACTGCAATAGCCTCCTAACTGGTCTCCCTGCTTCCTTCCTTGACCCCTTTGGGATACTTTCAACACAGTAGACAGAATGATCTTATTAAAATTTAAGTAGATACTGTCACTCCTCTTCTCAGAACCCATTAATGGCTTCCCATCAGAGTAAAAGCCAAAACTTCTACAGTGGCCTATCTAAGGTCTGCACCATTTGCCATCCTACCCCTTCCCAGTCCTTCTGACCTCATCTCTTGGTTCACTAGCTTCCTCTTCCTTCCCTCCAGTCACACTGTCCTTCAAACACAGAGGGTATGCCTTGGGCATTTACTGTGCCTTCTGCCTGAATTCTCTACTCCCAGACAGCCTGGCTTTCTTGCCTCCTTCAGATGTTTACTCACGTCACCTGCTCAGTAAAGCTTTCCCTGACCACTTTGTTCAAAACTATACCCCATCCCTCACCTCACAGAATCCCACATCCCCTTGTCTCCACTTAATTTTCTCCACTGCATTGATTATCACCCAACATGCTGTATATATCACTTACTATATTTCCCTGGAGTCAAGATCAGTGCCTGGCATATAAGAGGTGTTCACCAAATAGTTTGCTGTTGCATATGTGGATAAGACAGAAAGATAAGACACTAAAATTAGGAAGACACGTTTTCTTTTGTTTTTTCCTAAATCAGCAGTTTCAAATCCTTTTTTAGATCACAGGCTTCTTTGAGAATCTGATGAAAGCTATGACCCCTTTTCTTCCTCCTGCCAGCCCCTAAAGGTTCTTTTGAATATACACATAAAATTCTGCATTCAGTTCAGAGAGTTCACAGATAATCTCATACCTGGAAACCCATCTATAAACTGCAAATTAAGAAACCTCGCTTGAACACATGATCAGTGTTGTCCAGTTAAGTCTGGGTTGGGGAACCTTGCTAAAACCAGGAACTTGGCAGGATCTTTCTCCACAGCACTTGAGGTTTCTAAGTGAGGTCCAAAGGACTTGCTTACCTGGGCTTCATTTGCAAGCTCCTCAGCTGAATTTTCCTGCATCAGAGTAGCGAGGCAAGCAAACCTGCAGCTACTGGCTGTGGCCTCCAGGTTATAGAGCTGCCAGAGTAGGGAGAGGCAATGCACCCACTGCTGCAGGACTGCCAACTTTTTCTTACTGTTTTGAGACACAGGGTGGTTAGCACACCCTTATTCTTTACTAATGTCCAACCTTTCCTCTTCATAAGAGCTCCAAGTCTGCTTATCATGAGGCCATCTACAGATGTCCAAATGCGGAAAGAGTTCTCGGATCTCACTACTCCTAACCTCATATGCCATTTTAATTAGTCCCTCTTGATCAAGAAAAGTTCAGGGAGAGCTTTCAAAAAAAGATTATTTCTTTGAATCCCTATTTGCTACACATAATTGACTGGGGGAGTAAGATGGAAGAGTGAGAACTGTATGTTATACACTTATCTGTTACATGCATATATATGTATGCTGGCTGTTATATGTCTTTTTATCTGCTTGCCTGTTAGATGCTTGAAGATTACTTGATTGTAAAAGAGTAGTTTTAGGTAAAAAAGGCAAAACTCAGGCCAGTTAACTACAGTTTTAGGGAGGCTTCTCACTTCTCACTAGGATTATTTGGAGGTTGGCTTGGTGAACAGGAATGCCAATACTTTTCCAGAAATGTCTGGAAAAGGACACCAAACCAGGTCCAAGGGAAATTCCTTTTCTGCAGTCGAAGGGCTTTCCTAGCCAATTTTTTGGCTAAAGTAATGTGTCCCATGTTGAAGCAGACCTGGAGATGGGAAAACAAGAAGTAATGCAAATATAAGGTTTTGGATATAACACACTGGCTCTTTTGAGATGTGTAATTGGGGTAATTGAGGTTCTTGTTAGTGTGACTGCCAACCAGGCTATGCTCTGAGGTGCTAGAGTGAGCTGAGCTAGAGCACAGCCTGGTTAGCAGTCCCACTAACAAGCATCAGTATGGCCAAAAGCAAGTAAAGGGTTGAGAAAATAGGATGGCAAGGAGGATGGCAAAAGCACCCTCCTTTCTCATCTCCCGCACATTTGTCAGTGGGCAGTAGAAGAAGGCTGTGATTTAAAATATGCTGCTAGACTGAGATGGGACCATCATTTGAGTGGAGACCCAGATGCTCTCACATGGCATTGAAAGCATCTATAATATCACCAAATCCTTTCTCTCTCCTTCCTAAACAGGTTGAACCATAGTAGATGTGGAATGGGAGCTGGGGAACTACCTTGAAGTTATCCAGTATCTTCACATTCTAAGGCTGAATCCCTCAAGAAAGTAATAAAGTCTATGTGATTCTAGAACAATCTTGGGAGGACTGTACAATAACTTTCTCTTATAAGGGGAAAGAATAATTATTTAACTTTGCTCTGAAGACCTCTTGGTTGAAGCATAAATAATTCAACAATGTAACAATTCTAATATTTCCATTGTCTTTCAAGACATTATGTACATTAAGTTTACTCTCCTAACCAAATTATCTTAAGGTTTACATTAAAATTAGTTTACAACAGCTCTTTATGCTAAAAACCCTCAATAAACTCGGTATCGATGGAACGTATCTCAAAGTAATAAAAGCTATTTATGACAAACCAACAGCCAATATCATACTGAATGGGCAAAAACTGGAAGCATTCCCTTTGAAATCTGGCACTAGACAAGGATGCCCTCTTTCACCACTCCTATTCAATATAGTACTGGAAGTTCTAGCCAGAGCAATCAGGCAAGAAAAAGATATAAAGGGTATTCAAATAGGAAAGGTGGAAGCCAAATTGTCTCTATTTGCAGACGACATGATAGTATACCTATAAGACCCCATTGCCTCAGCCCAAAAACTCCTGAAACTGATAAGCAACTTCAGCAAAGTCTCAGGATATAAAATCAATGTGCAAAAATCACAAGCATTCGTCTACACCAATAAACAGACTTAAAGAAAGCCAAATCAAGAACGAACTGCCATTCGCAATTGCTACAAAAAGAATAAAATACCTTGGAATACAACTCACAAGGAACGTAAGAGACCTTTTCAATGAGAACTACAAACCACTGCTCAACGAAATCAGAGAGGACACAAACAGATGGAGAAACATTCCATGTTCATGGTTAGGAAGAATTAATATCGTGAAAATGGCTATACTGCCCAAAGTAATTTACAGAATCAACGCTATCCCCATCAAGCTACCATTGACTTTTTTCACAGAACTGGAAAAAACCACCATGAACTTCTTATGGAACCAAAAGAGAGCCCGCATAGCCAAGTCAATTCTAAGCAAAAAGAACACAGTGGGGGGCATCACACTACCGGATTCCAAACTATACTACAAGGCTACAGTAATCAAAACAGCATGGTACTGGTACCAAAACAGAGATATAGACCAATGGAACAAAACAGAGGCACCGGAGGCAACACAACATACAAACAACTATACAATCTTTGATAAACCTGACAAAAACAAGCAATGGGGAAAGGATTCCATGTTTAACAAATGGTGTTGGGAAAACTGGCGAGCCATGTGCAGAAAGCAGAAACTGGACCCCTTCCTGACACCTTACACTAAAATTAACTCCAGATGGATTAAAGACTTAAACATAAGACCTGGCACCATAAAAACCCTAGAAGGAAATCTAGGCAAAACTATCCAGGACATAGGAGTAGGCAAGGACTTCATGAACAAAACACCAAAAGCATTGGCAACAAAAGCCAAAATAGACAAATGGGACCTAATGAAACTCCACAGCTTCTGCACGGCAAAAGAAACAGTCACTAGAGTGGATCCGCAACCAACAGAATGGGAAAAAATTTTCGCAGTCTACCCATCTGACAAAGGGCTGATATCCAGAATTTACAAAGAACTCAAACAGATTTACAGGAAAAAAACAAACAAGCCCATTCAAAATTGGGCAAAGGATATGAACAGACACTTTACGAAAGAAGACATATATGAGGCCAACAATCATATGAAAAAATGCTCATCATCACTGGTCATCAGAGAGATGCAAATCAAAACCACATTGAGATACCATCTCACGCCAGTTAGAATGGCGATCATTAAAAAATTTGGAGACAACAGATGCTGGAGAGGATGTGGAGAAAAAGGAACACTTTTACACTGTTGGTGGGAGTGTAAATTAGTTCAACCATTGTGGAAGACAGTGTGGCGATTCCTCAAGGCCTTAGAAATAGAAATTCCATTTGACCCAGCAATCCCATTACTGGGTATATATCCAAAAGACTATAAATCGTTCTACTATAAGGACACATGTACACGAATGTTCGTTGCAGCACTGTTTACAATAGCAAAGACCTGGAATCAACCCAAATGCCCATTGATAATAGACTGGATTGGAAAAATGTGGCACATATACACCATGGAATATTATGCAGCAATCAGAAATGATGAGTGTGTCGTTTGTAGGGACATGGATGAATCTGGAGAACATCATCCTCAGCAAACTGACACAGGAACAGAAAATGAAGCACCGCATATTCTCACTCATAGGTGGGTGATGAAAAATGAGAACACATGGACACAGAAAGGGGAGTACTAAACACTGGGGTCTATTGGGGGGAAAAGGGGAGGGCCAGTGGGAGGGGGAGGTGGGGAGGGATAGCCTGGGGAGAAATGCCAAATGTGGGTGAAGGGAAGAAGAAAAGCAGAGCACACTGCCATGTGTGTACCCACGCAACTGTCTTGCATGCTCTGCTCATGTACCCCAAAACCTAAAATCCAATAAAAAATTAAAAAAAAAACAATAATAAACATAATAGCAATTACAAAAAAAAATAATAATAAAAAAATAAAATTAGTTTACATATGCTCCAATGAGAAAACTAGCTTATATCTACTTCAATGAACATAAATGGGTAAGTCACAAAGAAATACAAATGACCAATAAACATAGAAGAATGATGTACCTTTAATTAAGAGAAACATTAAAACAATGTAACTTTGTCTAGGAATTAGCAAGGTTAGAAAAGACTGATAGTATCTGATGTTAGTAAGGATATGAAGAAATGGGAAAAACTTGAGTTGATATAATATTTTCAGTTGGCAATTTGGTGATATATTTATTAATTTTAAAATTGTGCCTTAATATTTCCACCTTTGAAAATTTCTCTTACAGAAAACACTCTCACAAGGGGAGAAAGAGATATTTAGGGAAGAATAGTCACTATAGTAATGTTAGTAATAATCTCCAAATTAGAGATAACCTAAATGCACGTGAAGAAGGGAGTAGCTAAGCTATGATCTAGCCAGCGGAGTACTTGGTAGTTGTAACTATGTGGTGGATCAATATGCATACCAATATGTAAACATGTTCAGTCTGAACTATTAAGAATAAAAGCAAGCTGCAAGAATAAGAAAATGTAGAATATGATCCTATGAAAAATAATGGAAAACAATAATGATATGGCTGTGTGTGTACAGTTGGTAGAACATGCACACAATTATTAATTATGGTGCAGGGAGTAGGATTAGTGGGAGCTCTTTCACTTTCTACCTATTATATATTTCCATATTTTATTTATTATTCTCTTTATTATACTTTTAGTTGTGGGGTACATGTGCAAAATGTACGGGTTTGTTATATAGGTATACACATGCCATGATGGTTTGCTACACTCATCAACCCGTCATCTACATTAGGTATTTCTCCTAATGCTATCTCTCCCTTCGCCCCCCAGCCCCCAACAGGTTCCAGTGTGTGATGTTCCCCTCCCTTTGACCATGTGTTCTCATTGTTCAACTCCCACTTATGAGTGAGAACATGCAGTGTTTGGCTTTCTGTTCTTGTGTTAGTTTGCTGAGAATGTGTATAAACATTTTAAATGTGTATAACCTTTTATCACATTATCATATTTACAATCATACATAAAAAACAACAAAATGATTTTAAAAGAAATAATGGGGTAACACTCAAGGAGAAATAGCCAGCACTTCAAGGTCACCCTCTGCCCTCACCTCTGACAGAAGACAGAAAGTGGCCTTATCAAACTTACAGATCTTTACCTTGTGTTTTTTCAAAAATGGAAAAGCTGAGGGTTGGCCCAGAAGACTGCTTGCCTTCCTCAAATAAAAGAAGGCCTCCAAACAGGGAAAGGGATAAAGAAACTGGATTAGGATTAGGATGATACTGGGGTGAGATTAGGGCAAAGGCTGGAGTAAGGTTATGATGAGAGTCGAGATGAGAATTTGAATACAATTTGGATTTCAAGCTAGAAACAGGAGCTGGATGGTGCAAGAGTCGGAGGCAGTGCTGACATGGGTTGGTGCTATTCTGCTCCCACACTCCCACTTCATTTTTTCCCTGCCTTCTTTCTAGCTCTTCTCCCTCTCCTGCTTTCTTCCACTTTTCACTCATGGTTATAATGTTAAGAAATCTCAATCAAATTCTCAGTAAAAGGCTCAGCTGAAGGGTGGATTGCAGAACCTGCTCACCATGTAACTATCTGACAGGTCCAAGGAGGCAGCTGCAGCCTCTAGCAGGTAATAAAATACACAGGTGGTTTCTCCAATGACCAAGCAATGCTGGGTGAGGGGTGAGAGCACTAACTCCAGGATATCCTTACAGTGACAAGGTTTTGTGGTCAACAGGTCTGTCTCAGGGCTGATCTGGGCCAGCTTCCTCTTCACTTGATCTAGGAACTCTTCCTCTGTTCTTTGTGGAAAGAAAATGAATAACTGAGAGTAGCAACCTTTATTTGGGCATTACCAGGTCTCAAAGTCACTTTTTCCAGGAAGCTTTCTGGTATCATTCATTAATTCTTTGTCTATCCTTCTCCATTACTCCATAAAAATTTAAAAGTCAGGAACCAGAGCTATAACTGCAAAGCTCTATTAGGAACTTTTAAAAGCTGAAAGCCAATCTAAATACCTCAATCTAAATGGAGAAATACCACACTTGAATAGTTAAATAATCTAAATGTTACATTAAACATAAAAATGATACAAGGCAATAAATAATGATACTTTTTTTCTGTTAGTGTATTTGAATTTTCTAATACCACATTTTATCCTACAACAACCCTGTCATTCAGGCAGGCAAGAATTATCTCCTTTAGGTCATTGAGACTCCAAGAGATTACATATGGCTTCATAGCTACTGAGAAGTAGAACCAAAACTAGAGCTGAACTCTCTGACTATTAATCTAGTGCACTTTTCACAGGCAAGCTGAGCTCAAAAGGCAGACCTCTCTGAGCTATAATAATCTAAACAAAGTGGAGACTGAGGAGGGCCTTGAAGGATGAACACACTGATAGGTGGGGAGATGTGGAGGTCACTCAGCATTAACAAGGGAGAATTGTGTGAACAAAGACATACAGGTTAGTGTGGGGGTGGTTCATGTAGAATGGATTTTTTTTTGAAAATAGTAAGAAATCAAGTTAGATAAGTGGGATAAAAAACTGCATGTAGAATGGCTGCTGAACTCCAGGTAGGAACATCGAACACTGATAAGCATCAGAGACCCAGGGGGTAAATGGTTAGGAAATGTATATTCATTTTACTATCCTCTGGGGTAAAAAGAATTGAGAAGACAAATTTCTAGCTAGAAAAAAATATGCTACTTATAAAATGCACTTAAAAGCTATTAAAAGGCTGGGTACAGTGGCTCATGTCTGTAATCCCAGCACTTTGGGATGCCAAGGTGGGTGGATCACTTGAGGTCAGGAGTTCAAGATCAGCCTGGCCAACATGGTGAAACCATCTCTCTACTAAAAATACAAAAATTGGCCAGGCATGGTGGCATGTGCCTGTAATTCCAGCTACTTGGGAGGCTGAGGCAGGAGAATTGCTTGAACCCAGGAGGTGGAGGCTGCAGTGAGCTGAGATCATGCCACTGCACTCTAGCCTGGGCAACAGAGCAAGACTGCGTCTCAAAACAAACAAATAAAAAGGTATTAAAGAAAGTTTTTCTCAACCATTAGGAAATAATTTTCCTATAAAGAATCAAAAATTGCCTTTCCAAATCTTCTCTGTTAACCCGAATACTGGGCTGAGTACAAGAGTCACCACAGCCCATCTGCAACTGACATAAGTGGCTCAGTTTAATGGTCATCTTTCTGTCACTTCTGGCCCCTCCTTGCTCACCCTCAGCATCTCTACCTGCAGCATGCACTTGAGAAGGCTGCCTGAGTTCTGGATGGTTTCATTTGGAACTGAAAACTATCTGTAGGGAGAAAAAAAACATGATTAATTCTCTGTGTTTGGATGAACTGAGGATATTTTAAATTCCTGACTACCTTTCCTCTGCAGTTTACAACACAAAACTAAGATGGTATTTTGTAAATTCCTTCACAATTGCTTGTGATTCAGATAGTAACTCTTCATTCCCAAACCTTCAAACAAGTTCTGTTTTTGAAAGACACACTCAGTGTTTTCAAAATGAAGGAAAAATAAAGAATGTGTCCATCCTGGTTTGCTGGCTATTTCTAATAGAGGAAATCCCTGAATATGTATGGATCAGGTTCATGATCAGATCCAAATGAACTGTATAGGCTAAAACCAAGTGAAGAAAATTGTGATAGTACAAGATACCACACTTCCCTAGTCAGTGACCAAGAGAGCTTTCCAGCTTTACCTAGCAAGCCTTTAAATAACCTTTTTATCCTACAGATTTGACTCTTCTTCTGAGGCTGCCTTCTAATAGATCATAACAGCAACTATTAGAAATGATGTTGAGATGTTACCCATTGGAACTAACAGCATGGATGCTGGGATTGATACGGAGTCTAAGAGAACTGTTCTAGAGAGGATTTGGGTTAAGTAAAAGGACTGGCTTTCTGATGATAATGATGTTAAGTCACAGCTAAGATAACAGAGGATACTGGCAGCCCTACCACAGTACACAACTCCAAGAGGCACCATCATATCATATCCTCTGTAATAGCGCCCTCTGGAGTCAGACAGTGCCTGGTCTGTAATGGCTATGCACAAAGGCCTCGGGTCTGGGAAGCCTCCTCAGGGTTCTGCTGGGCTGAGAAGGTCTTGGGCCTTTTTCCTATAGATGGACCAGGCTGTCTAATCCAAAGCAAAAAAGCTGACCTCTCAAAAACAAAGAGTCACACAGGAAATATGAAAAATAGCACAATTTCTTTATAATACTAGACTTTGGAAAGCACAAAAGGTGCAAAAGCCCATAGAGCTCATCAACCAATGACTAATTGCTCCAAGTCATTGGTCTACCTTCATAGTTGGGATGTTACAGCTAGAAGAGGAATTAGGATCATACACAAAATCCCTCATTTTAGCCCTTTGCCAGCAACTATCTATCATTTTCCACATACCATCACCCCACCCCCAGTACTAAACCAACTCCTCTTTTATCAAAGTAGGGAGAGGATCTGGCTGGGTCTTGATAGCTATTTTCCAGTATGGGAGAGGGTATAACTATGAAACATGGGTGAAGCTGCAAGGAGGCAGCTTACATGCTTATGAAAAAAGAAACTTTCTGACAGCTGGAGGCAATGAGTTGTTCTGTAAGGTAAGCTGACTGAAAAGGTTAAAACAAAGATGAATGAACTCATCTGGGATATAGTTTATCAGGCTACGGTGAACATCTATTCACTATTAAAACCTTCTTCAGGTAGCAAACTCCTCCTTATCCCTCAAGACACAATTCTGACATGATCTACTTCAAAGGAGAGTCTTCACTGACATATTTCCCTGGCTGAGTTAATGGCCCCTTCTCATTTTCATTGCTTTTACCATGACATACTAGAATTCTCTATCTCTATGTCTGTAGTAACCCCCAAACAGATAGCTTCAGGAGTGCAAAGACCAAGGCTTATTCACATCATTTTCCTTAGCGTAGAATCTGATACACACAAGGACTCAATATGTGTACCGAGATGAAAAATAATAGTAATAATCAAAACGATAGCTAAAGTGTATTGAGCACTCACCATATGTCTAGCACTGTTCAGAGCATACTACATATTTTAACTAATTTAATCCCCATAATGACCCAGTAAAATTGCTATTGTTATTATTGATTAATTAATTAATTTTTTTGAGACAGAGTCTCACTCTGTCGCCCAGGCTGGAGTGCAGTGTTGCAATCTCGGCTCACTGCAACCTCCATCTTCCAGGTTCAAGCGAATATCATGCCTCAGTCTCCTGAGTAGCTGGGACTAGAGGTGCACACAAGCACACCGGGCTATTTTATATTTTTAGTAGAGACGGGGTTTCACCATGTTGGCCAGGCTGCTCTTGAACTCCTGACCTCAAGTGATCCACCTGCTTCAGCCTCTCAAAATGTTGGAATTACAGGCATGAGCCACCACACCTGGCCCATGAAGCTGATGTTATTACTGTCCCCAATTGATTGAGGTTAAGTAATTTGCCCAAGATTGCCAATCAAAACAAATGTGATCTCTAATGTTGCTTTTAATTCTGACATTACATTTTTTTAAATCTCTAGTACTTCAGGAATAAATAAGTGGTTCCTTCTATCTACTTTTCTCCCTTAATCTCATTTCAACTTTTTGATGAAGAACTCCACATACATGAATACCAATATATCCTCTTTCTGCCTCCTGAGTTTACCTTGGGGAGAAGGCAGCTGCAATTTGTCTGTGATCACTTGTGTTAGCACTGAGCCAGTATCTGTAAGTACAGAATCGAGAGGTCCCCTTGGAACTCTTAGTAGAACCAACTGCAAAACGATGAAAAGGGACAAAGTCTCCTCCATGGCAGCTCCCACAGCGGCAGGCCAAGTCTTGGAGAAAGCAGGCACATTCAAGGTGCAGAGCTAGCTGTTTTTCCTTGGGCCAGAGCTCCCAAGCAGCTTCCCGTAGTAGAGGCACTCCAAATTCCAACACCGCAGTTTGAGGTAGGGATAATTCTTCTTGTAGTGTGAGAAGAGAGGCTGAACCACCATCTGGAATTTAGGAAAATCTAAGTGAGATTTTCCCTTATAAACTTTTCGAGCTTCAATATGGCAGAGTCCCAAGCACATGGCTGCTAGGGTAGAAGAAAATTCTATTTGTAAATTTAGGATGATATTACCGCCTCCTTTGTATAAAAATTTTTGCATTATTCTGAGATCGATATTGACCATATCTAGTATAAAGTATAACAGAGAAGAAATGATCAATAGTACAAAAATATACCATTGATTTCATAATAGTTTCTCTAAATTGAGATTTTACTTCAAATTATTATAAATGTTAAATCATAGGGAATGCTCTGTTCAAATATAGGGTTCAAACATATTTCAAAGTCAAAGGAAAATTGTATGTGCTTTGGGTAGTCCATGCTACAATTTTATTTTCAGGTGGAAAATTCAAGATTGTAAGCTATTTATATCTTGCTTTGTTCATGTCTGTTTCAATACCACATATGTTTGTCTTCCTTGGGAGTTTCTAAAATAGGGGATGGTTTATCCTTTTATGTCATTCTTTGCACCTAGAAGCCAATAAAAGATTATGTCAATATTTTCTGAACCAAAAATCAAAACAAAATACTAACATCTGGGTTAACAAGGAGCTAGAATTTCTGAAATAAAGACAAGTCTGAAAAATACAGCATATATATATTTCACTATATCCATGTCTCCTTCATGGTTTAAATGATAATTTTCTTTTTGTTTCTTAGTCATAGGCTTTGAGAGAGAAGCCCTCAAACTGGGTGTGATGGTATGCACCTGTTGAGCCCAAGAATTACAACCTGGGCAACATAACAAAACACCATCTTTAAACAAATGAGAGAACCCCTTGATATACGAAATTGATGGTTTTTCTGAACACAGATACCCCCACAGGGACTATTCGTTCAGATCTGAGAAAAAGGGAACAGCCCTTCCTTACCTAACTTTGTCTTATTTTCTTTGGTTTGATCAGTGGTGTGGATAGAGAAAGGCACTAATATGGGCTCATTAGGAGGCTCTTGACTCTTCTCAGACCAGCAGAGCACATGTATATCCACAAGAGCTCTCAACACCTGAAGTAGCTTATTTTTATCCCAGCCAGGCAGGAGGTGCTGCAACAGATCTGTATGGAAGGTGTGAGCAACGATTGCAGCACATTTGACCAGCAACTGTTCCTCTGGGCTCAGTTGATCGAGTTGGCTTACTGCTGTTTCTGCCAAAATCAATCAGTCAATCAGCAATGAACAAGACTTCTACAAATCTAGAATATATCAAGTTGAAAATCTGTACCTTTTAAAAAAAGATATGCTTTTCACGTACCCCTTCTACTGCCCCCACCTCAATCTGCCCTTCTCCACTTAGTCAAACTTCTTGCAAGAGCCTTATAGCTATGTCTTCATTTTCCATTCATTGCTCTGCCAACATCAGTCAGTTTTTTACTACACTACTGAAGCTGTTCTCCCATGGTCACCAAAAGCTTTTTTCAGTAGACCTAAAAATCATCACTCAGCTATAGTAATGCTTCCCATCTACTTGACCTATTAGTATCCAGACCCTTTTCTTCTTATTTTCAACTAAACATGTAGGTCAGGTTTCCTGTCTCAGGTCTCTGATAACTGTAAAGATCTTAACTTCAAGCCATTCAATATATCTCTCTACATTGTAACATAAATGTTAGTATTAAATTAGTATTCACCAGGCCCTAAACCTTAAAATAATTCTAACTTTTTTCCTTTCTGTCACAACCTAATGGTTACTCACTCATCATCTTTCTTTTTTTTTAATTGCATTTTAGGTTTTGGGGTACATGTGCAGAACATGCAAGATAGTTGCCTAGGTACACACATGGCAGTGTGATTTGCTGTCTTTCTCCCCTTCACCCACATCTGGCATTTCTCCCCATGCTATCCCTCCCCAGCTCCCCGCCACTGCTGTCCCTCCCCTATTCCCCCCAATAGACCCCAGTGTGTAGTGCTCCCCTCCCTGTGTCCATGTGTTCTCACTGTTCATCACCCACCTATGAGTGAGAATATGTGGTATTTCATTTTCTGTTCTTGTGTCAGTTTGCTGAGAATGATGTTCTCCAGATTCATCCATGTCTCTACAAAGGACACGAACTCATCGTTTTTGATTGCTGCATAATATTCCATGGTGTATATGTGCCACATTTTCCCAGTCCAGTCTATCATTGATGGGCATTTGGGTTGGTTCCAGGTCTTTGCTATTGTAAACAGTGCTGCAATGAACATTCGTGTGCATGTGTCCTTACAGTAGAACGATTTATAGTCCTTTGGATATATACCCAGTAATGGGATTGCTGGGTCAAATGGAATTTCTATTTCTAGGTCTTTGAGGAATTGACACACTGTCTTCCACAATGGTTGAACTAATTTACACTCCCACCAACAGTGTAAAAGTGTTCCTATTTCTCCACATCCTCTCCAGCATCTGTTGTCTCCAGATTTTCTAATAATCACCATTCTAACTGGCGTGAGATGGTATCTCAATGTAGTTTTGATTTGCATTTCTCTGATGACCAGTGATGATGAGCATTTTTTCATATGTTTGTTGGCCTCATGTATGTCTTCTTTTGTAAAGTGTCTGTTCATATCCTTTTCCCACTTTTGAATGGGCTTGTTTGTTTTCTTCTTGTAAATCTGCTTGAGTTCTTTGTAAATTCTGGATATCAGCCCTTTGTCAGATGGGTAAACTGCAAAAATTTTTTCCTATTCTGTTGGTTGCTGATTCACTCTAGTGACTGTTTCTTTTGCCGTGCAGAAGCTGTGGAGTTTGATTAGGTCCCATTTGTCTATTTTGGCTTTTGCTGCCAATGCTTTTGGTGTTTTGGTCATGAAGTCATTGCCTACTCCTATGTCCTGAATGGTTTTGCCTAGATTTTCTTCTAGGGTTTTTATGGTGTTAGGTCTTATGTTTAAGTCTTTAATCCATCTGGAGTTAATTTTAGTGTAAGGTGTCAGGAAGGGGTCCAGTTTCTACTTTCTGTACATGGCTAGCCAGTTTTCCCAACACTATTTATTAAACAGGGAATCCTTTCCCCGTTGCTTGTTTTTGTCAGGTTTATCAAAGATTGTATGGTTGTAGATATGTTGTGTTGCCTCCAATACCTCTGTTCTGTTCCATTGGTCTATATCTCCGTTTTGGTACCAGTACCATGCTGTTTTGATTGCTGTAGCCTTGTAGTATAGTTTGAAGTCCAGTAGTGTGATGCCCCCCACTGTGTTCTTTTTGCTTAGAATTGACTTGGCTATGTGGGCTCTCTTTTGGTTCCATATGAAGTTCAAGGTGGTTTTTTCCAGTTCTGTGAAGAAAGTCAATGGTAGCTTGATGGGGATAGCATTGATTCTGTGAATTACTTTGGGCAGTATGGCCATTTTCATGATATTGATTCTTCCTAACCATGAACATGGAATGTTTCTCCATCTGTTTGTGTCCTCTCTTATTTCGTTGAGCAGTGGTTTGTAGTTCTTCTTGAAGAGGTCCCTTACGTTCCTTGTTAGTTGTATTCCTAGGTATTTTATTCTCTTTGTAGCAATTGTGAATGGGAGTTTGGTCTTGATTTGGTTCTCTTTAAGTCTGTTATTGGTGTAGAGGAAGGCTTGTGATTTTTGCACATTGATTTTATATCCTGAGACTTTGCTGAAGTTGCTTATCAGTTTCAGGAGTTTTTGAGCTGAGATGATGGGATTTTCTAGATATACTATGATGTCACCTGCAAATAGAGACAATTTGGCTTCCTCCATTCCTACTTGTATACCCTTTATTTCTTTTTCTTGCCTGATTGCTCTGGCTAGAACTTCCAGTACTATATTGAATAGGAGCGGTGAGAGAGGGCATCCTTGTCTAGTGCCAGATTTCAAAGGGAATGCTTCCAGTTTTGCCCATTCAGTATGATATTGGCTGTTGGTTTGTCGTAAATAGCTTTTATTATTTTGAGATACGTTCCATCAATACCAAGTTTATTGAGGGTTTTTAGCATAAAGGGCTGTTGAATTTTGTCAAAGGCCTTCTCTGCATCAATTGAGATAAGCATGTGGTTTTTGTTTTTGGTTCTGTTTATGTGGTGAATTACATTTATAGACTTGCATATGTTGAACCAGCCTTGCATCCCCAGGATGAATCCTACTTGATCATGGTGGATAAGCTTTTTGATGTGTGTTGCAATTGGTCTGCCAGTATTTTATTGAAGATTTTTGCATCTATGTTCATCATGGATATTGGCCTGAAGTTTTCTTTTCTTGTTGAATCTCTGCCAGGTTTTGGTATCAGGATGATGTTGGTCTCATAAAATGATTTGGGAAGAATTCCCTCTTTTTGGATTATTTGGAATAGTTTCAGAAGGAATGGTAACAGTTCCTCTTTGTGTGTCGGGTAGAATTCGGCTGTGAACCCATCTGGACCTGGGCTTTTTTTGTGTGGTAAGCTCTTAATTGCTGCCTCAACTTCAGACCTTGTTATTGGTCTATTCATACTTTCAGCTTCCTCTTGGTTTAGGCTTGGGAGGACAGAAGTGCCCAGGAATTTATCCATTTCTTCCAGGTTTACTAGTTTATGTGCATAGAGTTGTTTGTAATATTCTCTGATGATGGTTTGAATTTCTGTGGAATCTGTGGTGATTTCCCCTTTACTGTTTTTTATTGCATCTATTTTGTTATTCTCTCTTTTCTTTTTTATCAATCTGGCTAGTGGTCTGTCTATTTTGTTGATCTTTTCAAAAAACCAGCTCTTGGATTTATTGATTTTTTGAAGGGTTTTTCGTGTCTCTATCTCCTTCAGTTCTGTTCTGATCTTAGTTATTTCTTGTCTTCTGCTAGGTTTTGAGTTTTTTTGCTATTGCTCCTCCAGCTCTTTCAATTTTGACGTTAGGATGTCAATTTTGGATCTCTCCATTCTCCTCATATGGGCACTTATTGCTATATATTTTCCTCTAGAGACTACTTTAAATGTGTCCCAGAGATTCTGGTATCTTGTGTCTTTGTTCTCGTTGGTTTCAAAGAACTTCTTTATTTCCGCCTTCATTTCATTGTCTATCCAGTCAACATTCAAGAGCCAGTTGTTCAGTTTCCATGAAGCTGTGTGGTTCTGAGTTAGTTTCTGAATTCTGAGTTCTAACTTGATTGCACTATGGTCTGAGAGACTGTTTGTTATGATTTCAGTTGTTTTGCATTTGCTGAGAAGTGCTTTACTTCCAATTATGTAGTCAATTTTAGAGTAGGTTTGATGTGGTGCTGAGAAGAATGTGTATTCTGTGGATTCGGGGTGGAGAGTTCTGTAAATGTCTATCAGGTTTGCTTGTTCCAGGTCTGAGTTCAAGTCCTGGATATCCTGGTTAATTTTCTGTCTGGTTGATCTGTCTAATATTGACAGTAGAGTGTTAATGTCTCCTACTACTATTGTGTGGGAGTCTAAGTTTCTTTGTAAGTCATTAAGAACTTGCCTTATATATCTGAGTGCTCCTGTATTGGGTGCGTATATATTTAGGATCGTTAGCTCGTCTTGTTGTATCGATCCTTTTACCATTATGTAATGGCCTTCTTTGTCTCTTTTGATCTTTGTTGCTTTAAAGTCTATTTTATCAGAGATGAGAATTGCAACTCCTGCTTTTTTTTTTTTTTGCTCTCCATTTGCTTGGTAAATCTTCCTCCATCCCTTTATTTTGAGCCTTTGTGTATCCTTGCATGTGAGATGGGTTTCCTGGATACAGCACACTGATGGGTTTTGGCTTTTTATCCAATTTACCAGTCTGTGTCTTTTGATTGGTGCATTTAGCCCATTTACATTTAGGGTTAATATTGTTATGCGTGAATTTTATACTGCCATTTTGATGCTAGCTGACCGTTTTGCCCGTTAGTTGATGCAGATTCTTCATTTTGTTGATGCTCTTTAGCATTTGGTATGTTTTTAGAATGGCTGGTACTGGTTGTTCCTTTCTATGTGTTGTGCCTCTTTCAGGAGCTCTTGTAAAGCAGGCCTGGTGGTGACAAAATCTCTGAGTACTTGCTTGTTGGTGAAGGATTTTATTTTTCCTTCACTTAGGAAGCTCAGTTTGGCTGGATATGAAATTCTGGGTTGACAGTTCTTTTCTTTAAGGATGTTGAATATTGGCCCCCACTCTCTCCTGGCTTGTAGGGTTTCTGCTGAGAGGTCTGCAGTGAGTCTGGTGGGCTTCCCTTTGTGGGTGACCCGACCTTTCTCTCTGGCTGCCCTTAGCATTTTCTCCTTCATTTCAACCCTGGTGAATCTGACGATTATGTGCCTTGGGGTTGCTCTTCTTGCAGAATATCTTTGTGGTGTTCTCTGTATTTCCTGGACTTGAATATTGGCCTGCCTTGCGAGGTTGGGGAAATTTTCCTGGATAATATCATGAAGAGTATTTTCCAGCTTGGATTCATTCTCTTCGTCACATTCAGGTACACCTATCAAACGTAGATTAGGTCTCTTCACATAGTCCCACATTTCTTGGAGACTTTGTTCATTCATTTTTGCTCTTTTTTCTCTAACCTTGGCTTCTCGCTTTATTTCATTGAGTTGATCTTTGACTTCTGATATCCTTTTTTCTGCTTGGTCAATTCGGCTGTTGAAACTTGTGCATGCTTTGTGAAGTTCTCGTGTTGTATTTTTCAGCTCCTTCAATTCACTCATATTCCTCTCTAAGTTGTCCATTCTTGTTATCATTTCCTCAAATATTTTTTCAAAGTTCTTAGTTTCTTTGCATTGAGTTAGAACATGTTCTTTTAGCTTACCAAAGTTTCTCATTACCCACCTTCTGAAGTCTGATTCTGTCATTTCATCACACTCATTCTCCGTCTAGCTTTGTTCCCTTGCTGGTGAGGAGTTGTAGTCCCTTGTAGGAGGTGAGATGTTCTGGTTTTGGGTGTTTTACTCCTTTTTGCACTGGTTTCTTCCCATCTTTGTGGATTTATCCACCTGTCATCTGAGTAGTTGCTGATTTTCCGATTGGGTCTCTGAGTGGACGTCCAGATTGTTGATGATGAAGTATTTCTGTTTCTTAGTTTTCCTTCTAACAGTCTGGCTCCTCTGCTGTAGTACTACTGAGGTCCACTCCAGGCCCTGCTTGCCTGGAATACACCTGTAGCAACTGTGGAACCATGAGGGTTGCTGCTACCTGTTTCTTCTTCTGCTATCTTTGTCCCTGAATAATGCCCGCCAAACGTCAGTCTGATCAGTCCTGTGTGAGGTGACTCTTTGGATATACGGGGGTCAGGGAGCTGCTTGAGGAAACTGTCTGTAATTTATACTTGAGGAGTCAGTCTGTACTTTATAGGAGCTCAAGTGCTGAGCTGTGAGCTCCGTTGTTCATTCAGGGCTGCTAGGCAGGTACGTTTAAGTCTGCTGCAGCAGAACTCATAAAGCCCCTTTTTTTTCCTCAGGTGCTCTGTCCCGTGGAGTTAGGGCTTTATTTATGAGTATCTGTTGCACTGTTCTGCCCAGCAAGGAGGTAGTCTAATCACTGCCTGCCTGTAGTGGCTATGCTGAGCTGCCATGGGCTCCACCCTGCTGCCATGGGCTCCGCCCTGCTGTTGTGGGCTCCACCCTGCTGCCATGTGTAATTCCCTGTATTCCTGTTTATATGGGTGTGGTTAGAGCTGCCGTGGTGATGATGGCCTGCCTCTGTAGTGGCAGACTCTCTCTGTTATGGCGGGTTGCCTCGGCAATGGCAGGCTGCATCAGCAATGGCAGTGTACCTCCATCGGGGTTGAGTGCCTCGGTAATGGCAGACGCCTCTCCCCCTCTGAGCTGCACCATGCCGGGTTCAGCTGTGCTTGCCATGAAACTCTCAACCCTGAGCATCTCCAATGGCTGTTTTGTTTGTTTTTGTGGGGGTGGGACCCGCCGAGCCTGATCACCTGGCTCCCTGCCTCAGAGCCCTTTTTTTATTTTTTTTAAGTTGAACGGTTGACTCTCTCCCAGGTGTTCCAATCACCTGCTGAAAGGGCGCTGGGATCTGTGTGATTTCCCATGCAGTGACCCACTGCACCAGCTGGAACCACGTTGCTGCCTGGGAATCTCCTGGCCTGGCTTTCTGTTTAAGTCCCATTTAATCAGATTAATGTGCTAATCTGCCTTCCAAAATCTCCAATTGCTGGTTTAACAGGGCAACCAAACCAGTGTATTTTGTACGGAGTGCCGCTGCTCTGCAGCCCCAGCCCAAACAGCCACGCCAGCCCAAACAGCCACACTGGCGGCCCTTGGGGCTCCTACACCTGGGAATCTCCTGGTCTGTGGGCAATAAAGATCCATCTGGAAATGTGGCATCCACTCACCATCTGTGGTTTCACTAGGAGCTGCAATCCTGAGTTGGTCCTACAGTGCCATCTTCTCTCTCAGTCTCCTCATCTTTCTTTTGAGTATGTTTTCTCCTAAACAATGTTATTACAAATACTCTTTTTCAACTGGATCATTATAATACCCTGTTTTGTACATATCTAATTTCCTCCCATTCTTATTCCAATAATATATTAACTGGTAGCAGAATTATATATCTATATATAATCATGCTAGTCCCCTTCTTAGGCACTTTTACAACTTATATATGGGCTTTCACAATATAGTTTGGCCTTTTATCTTGACCAAGGGTGTTTGAGCTATTCATTTTAGTTTGTGAATTAACAAGCCCTTTTTCCTTACCTGAAAATGTTTACCTTGGGTTAATTTTCCTGTTTCCTAGGAACACTTAGAATATCAGCTGTGTTGCCAGGTAACATTGCTTATGCTAAGAATAACCTCTAATTGGGAAACTGAATTTGGACTGGGAAAACTGAATTAACTTGTGGTAAGCCACAGATTTGGGTTTCCTTGGGTATAGTAATTCTTGTAATCGGCCATGCCCCTTGGAGATCCTGAAAGCGATGCCTGTTTGGACCATTATAAGAAACAAAGCCTTTAGTTGGTCTTCTAAGCACCCATGAGTCATGGTTTCATTCACCATAGCTGAGCTATTACTTGAGGCTCCAGAGATTAGCCCCTGGAAGGCTATGCAAGCTGCTGTGAAAACTTTCATTGAAGAAAAGCACATGCCGCTGTCCTGTTAGCATGCTGTATTTCCTTCTAAGGAAAGCCATTGCCAAGTATGGTCTATCATAGTTGTATCATTGTAAACTGTCTCTGTTGAACCTAAAACCTCCAGAGTAAAGAGCTTGTAATGTAATAGCTAACAGTCATGGAATATTTATTATGTCCTAAATTATTTCATTTAATCCTCAACTCGCCCCATGAGGTAGGAACTATTATTATCTTCATTTGACTGATGAGTGAGAAGTTGACTAACTTATTGAAAGTTCCATAGCCGGTAAGTGCAGGAGCCCATGGTGTCCCAGGTTTTCTGACTTTAGAGCCCTGGCCCTTAACTACCATGGTGTCCTATACTGCTGTTTCATGTGTGTGTCTAATTATGATATCTGTAATTGGTTCACTTGAGGTCTTCAAGGGACTTACCTTTCAAAAAGGGTGGGAGAAGCACCGTGTCCAAGTTCACATCATCCTTGACTGTGCAGACATAAAGTTCCTGACCTTCTTCACGGTTGGCAGGAGAAATACTATACATTGTGGATTTCATGGCAATGGCTATAACTAACTTGAAGGTATGCTTGTTCATCACAATATTCCTCAAGTATTAGTACCTTACCCACCAGACACTTGAATAAAATATTAAAATAAGAAACAATTCATTTCTAAGAAGAACATCCCCTCTCCAACTATGCCTACCTGATTCTGATAGCTTCTTTATTCTTTATGGCAACAGTCATTCTACTTTGCACTCTTTTTTTATTAAACTCTTGCTATGTGCATAACATTGTATCCTCACTAACACCATGGATTTTCTTAAATCTCAGCAACATTATCTCCTTTGCTTACTGTCTACTCTGGAAAAAGAATATGCACAAAGGGAAACTAAGGACCTATTTTTAATTAAATAATTGGAAAACTTTTCCAGGTCATCAGTCAGTCCCAAAGAGAACAATGAGCTCACTTAAGTAAAACCTTACTCAAGTAGCATTACAAGTCTTCAAAGAGCTCTTCAGTCAATGCCAGAACTTATTTCTAGAAGGTAGATTTCTTTTTCAGAAGAAATGAAGCCAGAATGATAATTAGAGACCTATACTCAACCACCCACCAAATTACAAATTGCAATGATATCTGTAATTGGTTCACTTGAGGTCTTCAAGGGACTTACCTTTCAAAAAGGGTGAGAGAAGCACCATATCCAAGTTCACATCATCCTTGACTGTGCAGACATAAAGTTCCTGACCTTCGTCAGAGTTGGCAGGAGAAATACTATACATTGTGGATTTCATGGCAATGGCTATAAAGAAAGAAGGCTATGACTGAGGAAAGCACCATTCTCACTGACTGTAATTTTAAAGGTGCAAAAATACAATAATTTAGTAAAAAAAAACCTATAAGGATGAAGATGACTGGAATGTACTGTGGTTTAAAGTGTTTTACCTCACCTGTCTACCTGTTCTCTAATTTTCTCTTATAAACTAACAACATTCCCTGTACCACTTGGTATCTTACACCTAATCACTATTCCTGTTCACCTTATAACAGCTTTTGCTTCTATTACATCACAGCTCTGGGATGCCTTTCTGCTTTTATACATACTTCTACCCTTTATTCCTCTGCTACTCTCATCCCTTCTTCTATCCCCCATCCAAATCTTCAAGTCATTCTTCTCATCAATAAGGGACAATTCTTTATTCTGGACTTTCATGTTTATAAATCCTAATTTCCTGGGCTGCTTATAAAAGGAACTATTGTAGATTGACTGGATTAAGTTTTCCGAGGCAAGTCTTGAGTGTTTTCAACCTCGTTGTATAATATTTGCATTGTGTGCTTATCTGGTAAGGCCTAGTGTGGCCTATAATGTTAGCAAAGAAAAAGTATGTACCTTGTAAAGGCCAAGTGGCTTTTGGACCAGGGTAGAACTCTGGGAAACTAAGCTTACCTGAGAGATTTTTCCACTTGCTGTTTTCCTCTTCCTCCTTTTGTAGGTCATGAAAGAGCAATATGTCCTTACAGAGAAGGTCTTGGCATAGGACCTCACAATAAAGGGGGTTTCCAAAGCACCTGTGAAGGTAGCTGCAGGGAGATAAGGGATTTCACATTACAGATGACCATTTTAGGGGAGCCAAGCATAACAGTACTTCATACTGAGGAATCTTCTTTTGTTAAAGTCAGCTCTTCATGGCAAACACTAACAGAGGGAGGCAGAAGCACAGAAATGTAAAAAAGTAATTTCTGATTGGCCTTGAAATGCATCTTGGCAATAACTTTTCTTTCTCAACTATTTTGCTTTTATTGATGTTGAAAGAAACAAACATCCCCTTGCTAAAGGGTCTGGCGGAAAGTGGCCTGATCACATATAACTGACACATGAAGCAAGCCACCCAAGTCCTAATTGTCTTGTGAAAACCTAGGTGGAGAGCCCAGGGAGGCAGCCCCTTACTTGATTACAAGAAGACTGTTTCCCTTATATCTAGTCTCAGGGCCTCATCATGGTTACTAATACCATTCTCTCCCCCAATTCCAGTAAGACCTGCAGCTTCTCACTTAAACTATGGCACTGGCTTCTCCCTTAATGAAGTGCTCAGCTAGTCCTAGCCACTCACACCTGCAGCTCTTGGGGGATGCTCACCACCCCTAGTTCCCAACATGCCATTCTCAACAGTGAGGTTGTTGCCAATTTCGAAATAGGCATAAGGATAGCCTGAGGGCTCTGCAGGAAATGCTGGGCTCAGCCACACAGGGTGAAGATAGGGGTCAACGTCATCACCATGATGATGGGCATACTGGAGAGCAATGTTTTCAAAAATTCCCAGGAAGCTGCATCCATATCCTGGGCCTCATCAATGAGGAAAATCAGTAGTGTTTCTCTCACTACCTGGAAAGAACAGCAAAGAAACAATAACGACCTCTGATCAAAAATAAAGTCACCTGGTTTTCAAATCTACCATGAATTTCCCATCAATAATTTAAATAAAATGTTAACACAGGCTAGAGTTTTCAGAGCAAAATGTACGAAGTCCAGGTAATATTTTACTTTATAAATATAAAATTGAATCCCTAAAAAAGTACTGGGTTTCTGTAGACAAGAAAATACTCTAACTGAAACATGAAATAAGCATCAACATATTCTCCAAATCAAACCTGAAGCTTTCAAATATTTCATTTTGGCAAAAGCTTCATCTTGTGTGGGAACTCATAATACCTTAAAACAGCAATTTCCAAATCAGGCTATGCATCAGAATCACCTGGGAGTATTTGGCAGCACTACCAATTACCAAGCCACACTCATACAGACTTTGAAAAACCTGTTTACACTCCCAATTACCGGCCCCTATTCAAACAGACTTAAAAAAACCACTGCCTCAAGTGACCATTCTAATGTGTTTATTGCATAGTTGTTTCTATAGTGTTCTTACAAAATGTGCATTGTTGTTTTGTCAAGTACATTGTTTTTAAGTAACTGCAACTGTATTACAGATCCCATTATTTCTCTTTTTCTAACCAGGACTGTTTTTAAGATCATTTCATAAGGCTATATTTTCATATATTCCCCTATTTCTAAATTCTGCATTTTGTTCCATCATATTCATGCATGCATTCATGCTGATACCTACCTGACCTCCACAAACACTGTTAAAAATGTACTTGTTGGGATATATATACAGGAGTTGAATTGCTGGGTCTAGAGATACATGTTATTAAAATTTGGCTACTTTTAGATTGCTTTCCAGAATGGTTGTTACATCAGTTTCTGCTCATACAGATTTTTGATTCCATAATCCTAGGGTAGAACCTGAGTATCAGCATTTTTTAATGAATCATAGGTAAAATAGCTATACAACTGCATTTAGAAACTACTATGTTAAATTAAACTACTAAAATTTTATTTAGAAACAGGATCTGAAAAAAGCAAAGATCGTTTCTAGTATGCCATGCTGTGTTACAGGATAAATCCAAGCTTAAAAGTAGATAAATAAAAATGAAGATATTAACAGATAGGCAGGCCAAGAAATGCCTGAATCAAAGTGTGATGTGGACAGATTAAAATAAACATAATCTCCACATATTAAGAGTCAATGATACGTAGTGAAAGTACCCACCTCCTGAAGTACTTTAATAAAATATGCTTTAACCTTCTTTTGTCTGGCCTCGTCATCCACGTGTGAAACTTTGAAGGACAAAGGAAACTGACCAGGAAAATTATTACATGTTAGCATTTAACATGAAAATCTAATAAAAACATGCAGGTTCTCCAAAGGGAACACCAAACAATTCTATTTGGACTGAGAATGGGTTTCTGCAAGATTGAGCACAGAGTTACAAGGGCCTATCTAACATTAATATATAGTTCGAAGGGTGAGAGAGTTCGTGAAGGGTTAGAGACAGGTATCTATCTCTTTTCCATACCAGACTCTAGAAAAACCCTTAGAGGGTTATGACTAAGGAGTAAATGACAGATTGAACTTAGCAATGACATTTTGGGCAGCTCCAGTATCCTAATTATTCCAAGTATACCAGGACCAACCTATACATGAGACTTGTCAGAACAAGATGCAATAGACATCACCTAACATTGTTTCCTGTGCTAGGTTGGGGCATGCGAACTATGAGGGACCTGAGAGCCAAAGTGAGATGACTGCTAATCTATGTAGGCAAGAGTTTAGAGTCCCAAGCAAGGCCTACCTTAAGAGAGGGATATGTTGAAGGATTAGACAGATCTTAGTGTCTCTATTTTCTATTCCATAATACTCTGCAGGGTGGGTAGATTAGAAGTGATAGAGGATAAATAAAGCAAATTGTGCACCAGTGAATTTTTAGTTTGCTTACTACTGGATATCCCACACACCCTAGACCTCTGAAGGCTTTTGAGATACAGATGCTGGTTTCAAAAAGATATATTCTGCAGTAAGGGAACAGGAAGTTATGGTTAAAAGATAAAAGAAATTGTAACCAACTCAAGAACACATGGATATAATTCCTGGGGATATGCCACTGGTGATGGCCACCTTAAATGCATTTAGCACTTGAAAATATACATTTTCATTGCATTATCTCTTGTTTACCATCTACTTTAAAATTCACATTAAAACATATACAGTACTATAATTGTTATTTCACAGATGAAAAAACTGTGACTCAGAGAGGCTAAGTGATTTGCTCCAGGACATTCAACTAGAAAGGAGAAAGCCTGAGTTTTGGTGTTGAAGGAATTTCAAATCTTGGTCCCACCATATACGCATATGTGTATCCTCAGATTATTAGATAGAAGACAATCCTAAATCTGAATATCCACAAAATGTAATAGTAATCTAATTCAGAAAGCCAATGTCTTCATTATCTTCACAAATAAGAGGTCATTAAAAAGGCAGTGAAGTTGTTCTTCCATTAACCCATGAAGCTGTCTTTGTAGGTACTCTTGCCGGTAATAGGCTGGGCATGTATCAGTTTCAAAGAAGATGGCCATAAGGGTCTGGATGGCATAGAAGCACTGTTTGGAATCTGCTTCCTTCAGCATAAATGGCAACACCCTGGTGAATATTACTATGGTCATCAAGAGTCCCACATACCACACATAGGTTACTCGCTTCACCAGTCCAAGAATGCTGAATCTAATGACACAAGAGTCTCAGTAACAAGGGAAAGAAGCCCCAAGAGAAATAGGCTCTGACTAAGTCAGAATGCAGGAGTCTTTACCTACGCCCTTCCTTTTGGGCCAGGAAGTTTATTTCAGCCAACAGCTGGCTTTTTCCATAGCCTTTTCCACCTTCATACAGAACTGCTTGTCCCTTCTTCTGATGCAAACACTTTTGCTGTGCCACTTGGAACACTTCCAGTTCTTTCTCCCGGTTTGTAGAGAGACAGGGATCACCTAACACTCCTGTGCTTCTTAGTAGATATTCTATTGAATTGAATCAGTTTGCAAAGCTAACTCTCAGAATGGCCTTTTTCCTCCAGAATTGTAAAAATCTCATTTATTGATGGGGCTTCATATCTCTTTCCAGAAAATCAATTCTGAGCTAACATATGTTGGTCTTGAGGGCTTATTCCAGAGCCTACGTAGCAACATTCAGAAAAATTAGGCATCTTTTGGACATGAGTACCTTTTATGTTTTTTGTAAAAATTTTCTTAAAATCAATTTAGTCTTCAAGATCTGTTACTACTATGTGCAAATAATGGACTAATAAGCATAGACTAAAATAAACATAAAGATAGGGAATACATAGTGTGGGTGATCACAGTCTTGGTGCTATTTTCACTATTCTAAGGATGAGGAATTTTTCTCAGGCAGGCCACTGGCACCAAGCAGCCTGAAAGTGCCCCAACCCAGAAGCTAAGGATGAGGAATTTTTCTCTAAAGATGATCCACAATAAGCTGGTCTGATCTCAATAGCTGAACTCTGACTTAACAAAGATTATTATTAAATGTTGGTGTTTCTCAGGCACTTATAGGACTTCACCTGAAATTTGGATATTTGACATGAAAAAGAAATAGTACGTTCTCTTCAAAATTTCACTAAGAAGGTTGCTATTTTTTAATAAACTTAAAAGCATTTAGTCTTGCATTGTTTTGTTTTTTAAATCACATTTAGCCATCTACAGCTGAAACAAATATGATTTAAGTTACAAAAGAAAACATACCTAACAAAGGGTGATTTATGTTTCTCTTTCTTGCCAAATGTCTTTTTCCAAACATTCTGAGAAAAAGAACAAAGGGAAGTGTATTTATTAAAAATAGATTAGGAACAGCTGTCTTCATAAGAAAATGCTTTCAGATAAGGCGGTACAGAGCTCTAAATAAAAGGGTTTTAAAAACTAAAAATTTGGGGGAAGAGGGAGTAAAGAGGAAACATTGATTGTTCCAGGCTCGGGGAAGTAAATGGACAGTGAAGTACACAAAGAAAAAAGAACAAAGAAGATCTGGGTTAGTGACATACTGCTATTCTCTTCCTGTTGGAGAGCAGGACATTCGCTGAAGAACTATCTAAGAGCTAAACATAAAAGCTAAAGCTCTCAGACACTAAACCCTCCTTTTGTGTGTCTTATTCCAGCATGCCAGTACTAGCAGCATCTTTTTTTCCAATTTCATGTAATCAAAAACTTATTGCTCTGGAAGAGATGAGAGTAAACCTATCACGCAATGATACTCACATGCATCTTCTGTGGCCAAGATATTCATATATGTTCCCTGGGTCAGAGATGTTTTTCATCATTTTCTCTGGGAGTTTCTTGAACTTGTAAGCAAGTAGCATGAATCTTAGATACATTACCTCATCACAGGACACCAAACCTGGATAAGCAGTTATCATTCTGGCTGCAAGACTCACTTTTGGGCCAATAACTGTCAGAAAGACAGCTGTAGAATTTTTGGACTACGTCTTCTTCTTTCCTCCCTTAAGTCACAAAGCTAGCAGTCCAATGTCCTATTCTACATGTATATTCATGTCTTGCTACTGCTCCAACCACACCACAGAACACTGGTCCATTGGTGACACTGATGGAAACAAGTCTAGGGATCAGAAAAGCAACAATGGGTAAATATACAGTTGGAAGCCTCCAAGTCAGGCACTAGACCTGCCACTCCCTAGACCCAGAAGTCTAGTTTTACATTTGAGAATGGAAAAGGCCAGAAGTTGCTGTCAGTCTATATAACATGAGGGGTACAAAGTACTGAATATTAGGGAGATAACAACAACAAAAACCAGAATGGTTCCCCTAATTCAGGAGTTTTAGTTGGGGGTTATTATTAGTAAAAATTTTTCTTTTTCTTTTTGAGACAGGGTCTTGTTCTATCACCCAGGCTGGAGTGCACTGGTGCAATCTCAGCTCACTGCAACCTCTGTTTCCCAGGCTCAAGTGATCCTCCCACCTCAGCCTCCCGAGTAGCTGAGACTACAGGCACACCACCACCACACAACTAATTTTTGTATTTTTTGGTAGAGATGGGGCTTCACAATGCTGTCCGTCTCAAACTCCTGAGCTCAAGCAATATACCCGTCTTGGCCTCCCAAAGTGCTAGGATTACAGGTGTGAGCCACCACATCTGGCCAGTAAAAGATTTTTAAAAATTTTACATCTGTGGTAAGGCAAATATTTAAATACCATCTGAAAAAAAAATTGAAGGGGTTGATTAACTTTCCCAGAGTTATATGGCAAAAGTGAACAGTGGAGTCAGAATGAGAATCCAGGCCTCTTGCCTCCTACACCAATATTATTTCTACTATATCATGTTGCTTCAAATAAAACCCCAAAATGAGAGTAGATCAAGAGATATCAATACAGGGTTAATGGATCAAATAATGCTAGAATGCATAGTTAAGGAATAATCAGAATGTCAGGACTGCAGATGGGTTTCTGAAGTAAATTAAGATTGGAACAAATTTTTTTAATGAGTAATATTTTTAAAATTCATTCATATGTACTTACATTCATTTCATTCACTAAGCACCGAGACGTGTGCATAGTACAGAGTACTTGGCTCCATGTTTAAAATATCCTGCCCTAGAGAAGTTAAATCTAGGGAGGAGGGTGGTAGGTTTGAGGGAGGTGAAGAGATACTTATATATTGGCAAGACAAATACTCCACATTAGAGATAGATAGAGCACATTAACAGAACAGATGTACTAATTCACACTGAAGAGCAGACAGAGTATTCAGAAAGGAGAGGACATTTGGTCAGACCTTGAAAGTCAAAGAAACTGCAAAGGTGGGGCAATGATACTCTGGTGGGAAAAGGCAAAGGCTTTGAGACGTCGGGTGTGGTCATGCAAAGCTAAATACTTCAGGACGGCTGGAGCACAGACATGAACAGAGGTGTTTGGAGTTGAGAGAGATAATGGGAGAAGTGGTCTTACCTGTCTAGGGATAGGAGAGTGTTAGACATATGAATTATTTTTAAAGAGGTCATATACTGTTCTAGGGGATGCAAAAGCCCAAAGGTGATAAGGAGCAATTCATACATAACAGAATACGTAGAAATTACTCACCGACATGAAGATTTCATGTGAAAGGTAACAAGATATGTAGGCAGAGAAAGATTATGCAATGAAGTATAGTCTCACATTAAATCTATAAACAATTTTCAGTAGTTCAGAGAGAATGTGAGAAGTAGCAATCATGTTAACACTATTATCTCCTAAGCCATCAAAATTCTTTGCCCTCCTCAAAGGACAGGATTAAGGGCTCTTGGCTGGGCGCTGTGGCTCATGCCTGTAATCCCAGCACTTTGGGAGGCGAAGGTGGGCAGATCACCTGAACTCAGGAGTTTGAGTCCAGCCTGGCCAACATGGTGAAACCCTGTCTCTAATAAAAATATAAAAATTAGCAGGCATGGTGGTACACGCCTGTAATCCCAGCTGAGAGATTCTGACGCAGGAGAATTGCTTGAACCCAGGAGGCAGAGGCTGCAGTGAGCTGAGATTGTACCACTGCATGCCAGCCTGGGAGACAGAGTTAGACTCTGTCTCAAAAAAAAAAAAGAGTCTCTTACTATTCATTCTCTCAGCTTGCTGACCCCAGGGGGAAAAGAACAGACACTCAAGACAATACCATGCTGTCAGTTCTGCTGTCATAGGAAGAGTAAGACTGAAAATCTTTTAATATTTCATGATGCTTCCTCTGCCTAAACGCCCCTTCCCACCTTCTCCACTTGATGAACTACTTTTCTTCTCAACCTGGCTCAAAAGTCATATTTATAGTGAAGATTTCTTTGGTACCGCTAGGGAGAATTAACTATGTCTTCCCATAACACATTGTTGTAATTCCTATAGCATTTTATTCCTGAACTTTAATTTCATTGTATTAAAGTTACTTGTTTACTTAGCTAAACTGGTAAAATCTTTTTTTTTTTGAGACAGAGTTTTGCTCTTGTTACCCAGGCTGGAGTGCAATGGCATGATCTCGGCTCAGCTCACCTCAACCTCCGCCTCCTGGGTTCAGGCAATTCTCCTGCCTCAGCCTCCTGAGTAGCTGGGATTACAGGCATGCGCCACCATGCCCAGCTAATTTTTTTTTTCTATTTTTAGTAGAGATAGGGTTTTACCATGTTGACCAGGATGTTCTCGATCTCTTGACCTCGTGATCCACCCGCCTTGGCCTCCCAAAGTGCTGGGATTAGAGGCGTGAGCCACCGCGCCCGGCTAAACTGGTAAAATCTTAGTTCTCTTTATGTCCATAGCACCTAGCACAGTGCCTGGCTCGTAACTGTGTTCAAGGAAAGCTTGTTGAATGAATGCATTTATGTATGCCAGAAACTCTGCTATTAACAAGTCAATCATGAAACAAATAATACTTTTCTCACTTAGTTATTTCTTATTTCTTTCTATTATACTTTATATAATTCCTCCTTGTTTTTCCTGGAAATCCATATTCCTTCTTTCCTTTAAGACCTTTCTGCACTGATAAAGAATGTATTCTTTATTTGATATATGTAATTATATATAAAGTATTTCTGGCACTAAAAAACCATAAAAATGATGATATTCTGAGACTTCACTCCCTATGTCTCAAAAATATCCTGAAGAAATATTCAGGGAATCATCCTTCCTCCAAAAGAGCTAAAAGCCGAAGCTATTTCTCAGATTAGAAAAACGAATTCAGAGGATGTCCCAAGGTGAACAGGATCTTTGAAAAAGAAGACACGGAAAGTAGTTTTGGGTCTGAGTGAGAGCTGATGTGATGCAGAGAGAAATGAGCAATAGTATCTGCTGCCGAGGCTACACAGGTAACTCTGAAGCTTTAGCATCTGGTCGGCATTTCTAAAAATATCTTCCTTAGAACATTAGTTCCTCTGGATATTTATAGATCTTTCTGAAGAAGAATGTTTGATGACCAAGTAAATTTGGGTATTGCTGACTAAAACTAAATATAACCATTTTTTTCCCTTAACACTACTCAGAACCTTTGATGTGTTAATGTTCATTTGAACCTTGAAGAAGGAAATATAATTTGCATCACTTCCCAAACATATTTGGCCATGAAAATCTTTTCTTTTTTCATGAGCACATTAAGGGACTAACATTCTACCAAACACACTCTGGGAGATACTGAATTAGCAATTATATTTAAGGAAAAAATCACCGATCTTGAAACCTAGCTTCGAGACTCTGACATCTGTTTGGTTTACTAGCATAACCTTTCTGGATCTTAGTTTCTTTAAATTAAAGTGGTCAAAGTTGATGAATTCTAATACCCCATCTAGTTCTTAACATCTATTATATTCTAAACTAAATGAGACTGAAATGACCAAGTTACAGGCTAAAAGTGACAAAAGGCATTCTTAAGGGCATTGTAAGACAGCCTGTAAAGGCCAAAGAAATGACTCTTAAGAGTAAGGGCCAAGGGTGGGACTCTTGAAGGCCACAGGTCAATACAAACTTCAAGGACAGAACAGACCAGCACTGGAAGGAATGGCCCATGTGATGGCTAATACTAAGTGTCAACCTGATTGGATTGAAGGATTCAAAGTATTAATCCTGCCTGTGTCTGTGAGGGTGTTGCCAAAAGAGATTAACATTTGAGTCAGTGGGCTGGGGAAGGCAGATCCACCCTTAATCTGGTGGGCACAATCTAATCAGCTGCCAGCAAATAAAGCAGGCAGAAAAACATGAAATGAGCGATACACGCCTAGTCTTCCAGCCTACATCTTTCTCTAGTGCTGGATGTTTCCTTCCCTCAAACATCAAACTCAAATTCTTCAGTTTTGGGCCTCGGACTGGCTCTCATTGCTTCTCAGCTTGCAGACAGCCTATTGTGGGACCTTGTGACTGTGCAAGTTAATACTTAATAAACTCCCCTTTATATATATGTTCTATCCCTTTAAGAGAACCCTGACTAATAACGCCCAACATATCCACGCTGGAGATAAGACAGGGAGGTAGGTTGTAGGCGTATCTTCAGATCCCACCAAACCTGAAAGAAGTGTTAACATGTATTTGCCTTGGGCAAAGAGTCTGAGTATCTATTAAGCAATTGTAGCATCTTTCCTATCTCTAAAATAAGGCTTGGATCAGAAAATCTCTAAATTCCTTTCCAGTACTAACATTTTATAAGTGTGTATCTATAATTACATCACATTAATAGCATATTTAATTATTTTGGGGGAGCATTTGCATTTTATAAGAGGCAGCCGGGGGATAAGTAATGAAACAACACAGGATTTGAAGACTGAGATCTGGGTTTCATTACCAGCTCTGCTATATGCTAGTAACTTCTCTTCTGTGACCTTAATTTCCTCATGTATAAGAGGAGCTAGGCCTGGTGTCTCGCACCTATAATCCCAGCACTTTGGGAGTCAAGGTGGGATGATCACTTGAGCTCAGGAGTTCGAAACCAGCCTGGGCACATAGCAAGACCTCATCTCTACTAAAAATAAAAAATAATTAGCCCAGTGTGGGGCGTGTGCTACTTGAAAGGATGAGGTTGAGGATGCAGTGAGCTGTGATTGTGCCACTGAACTTTAGCCTGGGAACAAAGCGAGACCCTGTCTCTAAAAAAAAAAGTAAAAAACAAAGAGGGATACAAATTTTCACATTGGTAGCATATAATAAAGTATTCTATAAATGTTAAAGCACTAAGTACATGTAAGATATAATTTTTATCCATTTTGAATAAGTTATAACAAGCAAATCAATCTGATTTGATGTTAACATTGGAAGCAACTATTTTTAAAATTCATTCATGTATACACTTTTTCCGCAGCTTTCTATTTTAAAAAGTCACTCGAAACTTCCAACCAACTTTATCATAATGCAACTAGTGGGAAAACAGATTTTTTCTATACCTTCATCTGGGTTAGGTTCATCCTCCTCATGACTTCCACTTCAAACATATACTGCTTGCAGAGCATCCAGCAGTTCCAGGACAAAACAATCTCATTTGCCTGAGCCAAACGCTGAGCTAACTGGACATCGTCTACATCCCGCCCAATCACCAAGAGGTATTGCTGCTGCTCATCTCCAACAATAACCTGGGAAATCCGACCTGCAGACAGACCTATCCAGAAAAAATGAGATAAATGGAGAACAGCCAAACTCAGTTGGGAAACTATGCAACAGGAAGGATATGGAATCCCCACATGGCTCCTTATGTATCATGCCAATCTTGTTATTGCCCTCAGCTGCAGAAGTCTTAGGTGAGATAACCTTTAAAAATAATACCTTCCAGCTGGGTGCAGAGGCTCATGCCTGTAATCCCAACACTTTGGGAGGCTGAGGCAGGTAGATCACGAGGTCAGGAGTTTGAGTCCAGACTGACCAACGTGGTAAAACCCCGCCTCTATCAAAAACACACACAAAAAAATTAGCTGGACGTGGTGGTTGGTGTCTGTAATCCCAGCTACTCAGAAGGTTGAGGCAGGAGAATCATTTGAACTCGGGAGACAGAGGTTGCAGTGAGCTGAGATCATGCCACTGCATGCCAGTCTGGGCTACAGAGCGAGACTCTGTCTCAGGGGGTGGGGTCGCTTCCACCATATTTCCTTCTCTTATATAATACACCTGGAGATGGACATTTTGTCTGTCTGGAGATGGAGGAGGGGAGTAGTGGAAGAAGGGGTGTATATAGGGGCACAAGGAGACTTTTTGAGTGATAAGTATGTTCACTATCTTTATTGTGGTGATGGTTTCAAAAGTGTATAAATATGCCAATGTATAGTATCAATTATCCTTAATAAAACAAAAACCAAAAGAGGCAAAAAAGATGGCAGGACAAAAGAGATGCCATATAACATAGAATATAATTCTTTATCACTGCTCCTCAAAACATAATAGCTGTAGCCAACTTTTGCCCTTAAAAGACGTTTCTGAACACTTGTGAAGTAGCTTTGTGTATTGAGTTTCCCCTCCAATCCGGACTCTGCCATTGGTGAAACTTTGGCCTCTATATGCAGCTTTTAAATTTTTATTATATTGTATTATATTTTTGATTATGTCAAGCAATAACATAGTTCAAAAAGTAAACTATATTAAAGTATATTTTAAAATCTAGCTTCCACCTACATGCACATCTTTACTATTTTCCTGATATTAGTAATATTATTGATTTCTCATATATTTTCCCACTGTTTCTTTATACAGATATAAACAAATTTTTTAAATTCTTATTTTTCCTCCATACACAAATGGTAGCATACTAAACATGCTGTTTTGCATCTTACTTTTTTTCACTTACTGTATCTTGGAGATATGGCCATATCAAGACATCTTATTTTTTAAAAGTTGCAGATAATCTTATTGAATATACATATTTTTTACTTAACCAGTTTCCTATAGATGAATTGTTTTCAATTTTTTAAAAATTACAAACCGTATTACAATCAATAACCTTACATATGCAACATTTCAGATGTGTGCAGGTATACCTATAGGATAAATGTCCAGGATTGACAGGTTAAGGAATAATGTACTTGTAAGAGTCAATAGTATAGGTGGTATGTAAGCGAAAACAAGACTTTTTAATATATATATGGTTTATTTTTTGTTGACATAAACAATAATAAAAACAATAAAAATAAATATAATAAAGATTGCCAAATCACCCTTATACCATTGTTCACTCACAGTATGAAAAAGCTCATTCCTCACAGACTTTCAAAGAGTATGTTGTCCAGCATCTGAACTTTTGCCTATCTATAGGTAAGACAGGTAGTCAATGTACTTCCAATTGGCATTTTTCTTATTATGAATGTTGATCATCTTTTCACATGCTAAAATACATGCATTTCGTTGCCTATATATAATTTACTCATGTCCTTTGACCATTTTTCTCTTACATAGTATTATTCTTTTCTTGATTTCTAGGTGCTCTTTCCCTAGTAGAGCAATTTACCCTTTGTTTATATGAATTGCAAATATTTTTTCCCGGTTTATCATTTATCTTTTGAGGTTTTTATAGTGAATTCTCCCCTCTGCCCCCTACCAACTGGATCACTTTTTTAGGAGGTACTACCTTCACTTTAACTGCAGGTCCTGGCCTTCTCTGGTATGACAGATCCCAAATTTCTCCTGTATCTCCAGACTGCATTTTGCCACCAAGGTAATGATGTCACTCAGTTGGTTTTGTTCTACTCTCCAGAGTGCCAGAAGCACGTTCCCTGCAGAGATACAGGATCAGTTGATGGGGACCAAATATCTAGACTTACTTGGTCTAGGGTAAAGTCCTCAATAATGCAGAAGATCAACGTGACCCAGTGTGGGTATCATGTAAGTTATCAGGCACGGTTTCTTTGCTGTATACATATTATGCTAGGTTAAAATACTGCTTCAGATCCTCAAAATCATTCATTACATAGGTAGAAGTTGAAATGGTCCTAAGGATATTTTTGGTAATTTTCCTTACCAAACAGGGGAGGAGAGGTACTAGCAAAAGGTTCATAAAAGGTGGATTCAAGTTCGTATCTATTTTTTTCTTTTTCTTGTCTTTTTTTTTTTTAACATATGTCCTTTAAACCAATGCAGTGACTTCGTATCTAATTTTATGGCTGGTTTTATTATGTTTAAATGAGAAGACAGGCCAACTATGGGGAACACAGCTGTTAGTGATCCTGAGTTCTCCTGATATGACATGCTTGACTCCTCCCCATCTCATGCTTAGCTTCTGCTACTAATGGCCAAGTTTCTCATTAGTTTTCTCAAGAATGCTTCATATACACTTATTTTCCTGTCCTTCAATCTAAACAAAAATGTAAAGCATGTGAGAGCTTGATTTGGGCAAAGCTTTTCCATTAGACTAGAGAATCCTTTGAGGCAGAGACTATGTCTTCCTCATCTTTGTATCCCCAGGGTCCAGTGCCTATTAATCAAACAATGCTGAATAAACAAATATGCCAAATTCCACCTAAATACAGTCCTCCTCACTCAGTCTTTTAAGTATTCAGAAAAACAGAAAAATACCTGTGATATTTAGGATATCCCCTCCAAAACAGAGCATATCTGAAATAAAGCAAGGAAGAGAGAGGAAAATGCTTCAAAGTCAGATATAAATCAGATCATGGCAGAATCATCTATGGTCAAAAGAATGGCCTACTGAGTTTATCCTCATGTCTTTCTTGTCCATTTGTTCACTCCAAGACTCGGGCTCCTTCTTCCTACTTTTCATTTTCTCCCCTAAGTCCATCTGTACCTACATACATCTTTTCTAAAATGGAAGTATTCCTGTTCTCTTCCAAGTCACGCCATTATTTGATAGGAATCTTGTTCCCTCTTACCTTCTCGAGAACTTCACACCATTCCTAATCTCTCTACTGAAACATTCCCATCAGTAGCTTAGAAAATGAAACCAAAACACACAAAAATAATCCACATATTCTTGGTTCTACCTTCCCTTCTGCCTATTAGCTCCATTTGTTTTTCCTGCTACATTCATAAGCAAACAAAACCCCCAATCTCAAAAAAGTTGGCAATATGTACTTTCCTCACCTCCCATTTACTCTTCCTTTTAAATGTTTTCTCTGCCATTATTTTTCTCAGATTACTCCAATCTAACTTCCACCACCACCACTTCAAATTATCAAGCTCATCAAGAGCAAGTCTTGCTAGATTCAATACTTTTCTGACCTCATTGTACTTGACAGCTGTCATTTTCAACCCAGCTAGCCGCAGCTTTCTTCTAGAGACAATACCTCTCCTTTGGCTTCAGGGTCATCATAGTACCTTACCTCACTGGCTGCTTTGCAGTCTCTCTTGTAGGTTCTTTCTCCCTCATCATAACCCTCCCCTGGAGTTCCTCAAGCCTCAGCCAAAGGCTCTTTCTCTTTATTTAAGGTCTCCCAACATGAACTCAATTGGTTCTTTAAGTCCTACTTTATGCCATCAACTCACAGTTTCATCTCTAACAGAGATCTTTTCTCTGAGCTCCAGGCTCCATCATAGCTGAATTTTCCACTTAAATGGAGTCATTCTTCACCTGAATGACTTATTGGCATCTCAAACTCAACATACTCAAAACAGAACTCTTGATTTTCTCTCTCAATGTTCAGTCTTTTCTGTCTTGGTAAATGACAATTCATTTATGAAAGCCACAAAAACTAAGTCCTTTTCTTACCATTTCCCACTGAAATTCAATCTATTAGCAACTCCTGTCTGTTGAACCTGTAAGATATATTTTAGGTTAAGCTACCCCAAGCAGCTCCACTGCCATACCTCTACACCAACAATTTCCAGTCTTGACTGCACATTGGAATTGCCTATGAAACTTTAAAATGTCTTATTCCTGGGCCGACCTAAAGAAATTCTGATTTAAATGGCCTGGGGTGAAGCTCAGTATTAAGATTTTTAGTTAGGCAAGGTGGTACAGTACCTGTAGTCCCAGCTATTTGAGAGGTTGAGGCAGAAGAACCTTTTAAACTCAAGAGTCAAGACAAACCTGAGCAACGTACTGAGACCCTAGTCCCCCCACCCCGCCAAAAAAAAGGCCAGGCATGGTGGCATACCTGTAATCCTAGCACTTTGGGAGGCTGAGGCAGGTGGACACAAGGTCAGGAGTTCGAGACCAGCCTGACCAATGTGGTGAAACCCCGTCTCTACTAAAAGTACAAAAATTAGCCGGGTGTGGTGGTGTGCACCTGTAATGCCAGCTACTTAGGAGGCTGAGGCAGGAATCGCTTGAACTTGGGAGGCGGAGGTTGTGGTGAGCTGAGATCACACCACTGCACTCCAGCCTGCACAACAGAGTGAGACTTCGTCTCTAAATAAATGAATAAATAAATACTTTTAAAAAGTTTTAAAAAGACAATTAAAAAGCTCCTCAGGCAACCACAGCTGAGGTTGAGAACCACTGCATTACACCAAATCTTCTTCATCTTTCCAGAACAATTGCCTCTTCCAGCTTCTATTCTTACTATTCACTCTCCACCAGCATTCAATCTCCACAAGGTAGCCAAAATCAGCTTTAAAGTGTTAATCAGATCATACGACTCTCCTGCTAGACCTTTCCAGTTTTCATTTATAAAGAAATATATAATTCAACTCTTTACTATGGACTACAGAGCTTGGTGATCTCACAGCTACCTTCTCCCAACCTTGACTCAAACCACTCTTCATCCTGCCAGCTATGCTTTGGCTGCACTGGCTTTCTGTTAGTTCCTAGAGCAGGCCAAGCTCTTTCCTGTCTCAGAATCTTTGCACTTAGTAATTTGCCTGAAATGCTTTACTCCTAGCTCTTCACAAGCTATTCCCCTCATCCTTCATGTGTCAGCTTGAATAATACCTGCTTGGCCGGGCACAGTGGCTCAAGTCTGTAATCCCAGCACTTTGGGAGGCCGAGGCAGGCGGATCACGAGGTCAAGAGATCGAGACCATCCTGGCCAACATGGTGAAACCCCATCTCTACTAAAAATACAAAAATTAGCTGGGCATGGTGGCATGCACCTGTAGTCCCAGCTACTCGGGAGGCTGAGGCAGGAGAACTGTTTGAACCCGGGAGGCGGAGGTTGCAGTGAGCTGAAATTGTGCCACTGCATTCCAGTCTGGCGCCTGGCGACAGAGTGAGACTGTCTCAAAAATAATAAAATAATAGTAATAATAATCCCTCCTCAGAGGAGCTTCCTATGACCACCCTGTCTCATACACTCCCCTACCCTAAAATTATTTTGCGGTTTCTTTTTACCGCTATACTATGTTTATTTCCTTAATAGAATGTATAAGCTACAATTAATGTGTTTATTGTCTGTCCCACTAAAGTGGAAACTCCATGAGGGCAGATACTCTGTCTTACTTTCCCCTGTATTTCTAGTACCCAGCAGTTGCTGGTATTAGAGTACATACACAATGTAGAATTTTTATCTTCCCCTTCATCCAAACCTGATGAGAAAAAGCAAAAGACCTTTCATATGTGTTCCTTAAGGATAAGGGGTGAGCCAAATAATGAAATTCTTAATGGAGATGCCACAAAGTAACTACTCTGGTGAATCTCAGAATGTTGCACAGAAGCATATAGGGCACTGTCAGTAAACAAAGAGAATGTTACATAAGTACTAAAACGCATAATAAGGTTGGAATAATTTCTGTTGGGTAAGCCTGACTAAAAAGTTCAAGAGTGGGTTCTTGCCTCGCCTGCACCTATTACAGTGCTTATCACAGAGTAGGTACTTAAAACGTGTACTGCACAATTGAGCTTTTTTCCAGATATCGGACATTTGACAAACATCTAAAAGCTTAATACATGACAGAACATAAGAAAACTCCTATTCCTTCCTCACTGGATCAAAATGTAATAACAGAATGAAAAAGTGTTTAATAAATTATGTCTATATACACACTTGAGATACATTATTATAATAACAGACAACCTAAGGAATGCTTTATTTTGAAATAAAATACGAATGTCCAAAGTAAATTAGCTCCCCCTCCCCACCTTTGAACATTGAGTCAATAGAATGTGAAACTAGGTAGAACGGCAGATAATAGGCAAAGGTCTTGCTTTTCAGTGGCAACTTGAAGAAACCAAAGACAAATGCTGCTAAATGAATGACCCTTTGGTACCTGTTTTAAAGTACTTCTGGCCCCCTTCTTTTATAAACCCCCAGGAGCCCAGCACCACATCTTGTTACCCTACAATGATCACTGATGCTCCACGATGTCACTAATGTAATAACTGAAGATGTAGGCCAGTTTGTCCATGTCACATTCTGACTTGCAGATCAGGCTGAACCTGTCCATTAATGCTGTAAACCCTGACCAACAAAGCAGAAGTCCCCAAGTTAACTGAAAATCCTAAACTCTTTGGCCCCCACACATCTGGCTAAGGGAAACAGATCCCTTCAAGCTGAGTAATTCCTTTATCCATGAACATGGTGTAACTTAGAAACTATTCGGCCGGGCGCGGTGGCTCGCGCCTGTAATACCAGCACTTTGAGAGGCCGAGGTGGGTGGATCACGAGGTCAAGAGATCGAGACCATCCTGGTCAACACGGTGAAACCCCGTCTCTACTAAAAATACAAAAATTAGCTGGGCATGGTGGCGCATGCATGCCTGTAGTCCCAGCTACTCGGGAGGCCGAGGCAGGAGAACTGCTTGAACCCAGGAGGCGGAGGTTGCCGTGAGCCAAGATCGCACCATTGCACTCCAGCCTGGGTAACAAGAGTGAAACTCCATCTCAAAAAAAAAAAAAAAAAAAAAAAAACTATTCATGGCCAGGCTGGTTGCCGGGGCCACTGGGGAAACTAGAGGACCACCCTCTCTGCTTCCAGGAGCTGGAGATAGTGCCCTTTTCATCTGGAGCCAGCTCTTTCCTCCACTCTCTTAGGCTGTCGGACTATGGGAAGCCACAGAATTCCTCCTCATGTCTGGCTAGAGAACGACTGACAAGGGAAATGGATTTAAGCTTCATGTAGCACTCACACGGTGAAGACAGGCACCTGATATTACCCATCTTCATATCCCCGACACAGAGTATTTATTTAAATGAACGACTCTCAGATGTGGCTGCTAGATCGCTACAACCTAGAACAACGGCGGGCACATGCTTATGGATGCCAAGATTGAATGAACGAAGAAAAGAAGTGTCTGAAACAACACTTAATGGAAAATGCTCGGGGGTGGGAGAAACTGGTTCAAAGCCCGCCACGTGGTCCTGTAAAAATCCTCTCCTCTCTCTGAGTTTCAATTTCATCATCTTTGAGGCGAACTCAAGGGCTAAGCTGGTTCATCCCAAAAGGCGTCCTCCCGCGCTAAAACGAAGACCCTCAAAGTTTCCCGCGGAAGCCGCCGCACGAAATTAAACTCTGCCTTAGCTCGCGGGAGGCCAGGCCTGTAACCGTCGCAGCTTAGGTCCAACGGCCTCCTCTCCCGCAGGCCAGGAGACTAAAGTTCCAGCCCTTGCCCTCACCCGTCACATGGACGCCTAGGAGGACGCCCTGGGCCGTGGCAACCTCAGGTTCCGATCCCCGCGGTTTCCGAAAGACCAGAAGGTCGGGAAGCAGCGCCGCCAAGCGGGCCTTCAGCCGCCGCTCGCCAGTCACCATGATTGCCTGTCTAGGAACCGGAAACAGGGTCCAGCCGTACAGCAGCCAATCCGCATCGCAGGCTCTGCTGGGGGCCCTCCCGCCTACCAATCCGCACAGACTTCCTTGGGGCAATGCCAATCGGAAGCCGCCGCAGTCCCCGCCCCACCAGCTTCCAGCAGCCTTCGCTGGGCCAACTTCCGCGGGAAGAAGGCACTGGAGGTGGCGGCAGTCGGCGTTTTCAAAGGAGCAAAGCTGTCTTTTCTAATCTCCTGGAAACAGGGGAGGTGAAGACGCTCCTATGATAAAGCTGCTGATATGAGATACATATCTTAAGTCTTTACTCCATACCAAAGTAGAATCTTGGGTCATCTCTGAATTTGGTAAGGGCAAGTTCTATTGGCATAAATCTAAGGCAAACTGTTTTTTTCTTAAGTACAGTTTGACTAAAGCTATCGAATACTGTTAGTCCCTTTCCTTCATTGTCAAGGATTTTCTCCTCTTTTAGCTGCCAGGGCAGGTCTACTGGTTTCATCACGAATGCTTCCCCTGGGCTGTTTGTCTCTTGTGTGTGATAATGGCATACTGGAGGCGTCTAGTCTTTGTTGCTTAGAGATTCCTGGTAGTAACAAGGTGAGCATGCTGTGGATTTTTAACCATCAGAAAAGTGTTTTTGTGTTGGGGAAATATAACAAATTCTAAAAAGTACATCTTCACTATCTGAAATTCTACAGTACCTAATCAAGCCTGCTTCTGTGATAAGGGCTATTTTTCCTCATGGAATTACTTTATCACATTTTGATAAACAGTAGTAGCATCAAATGTATGATCAGCCTGCAGGTGACAGAAAATGGAAGGGCCAGGGAAAGAAATTAAGGGGAGATAAGGGCCAAGAGGCCCAAACATTACAAGTTTGACACTGCCTACAGTGACACCATCCGCATGCAGACATATCTTGTCGGTGGAGATCGCAATTTCAGCATTGGAAACACAACCTAGAACCTAGGAGTTGCAGATTCCTCAAAAGTCAAATTACTTTTTGGTGTTTTTATACATTTATTTTAAAAATAACAATTGCAATGACATCAATGATCGATCCCCTGTACCCCCCGTACTGCTAGGGGAAAAAACCTTCGATATAGTTGAGTCCCAAAGAAGAATCAAGACATTATTACCAGGCACCCTATAGCCACAAAATGCTCTGTTGGTCCAGTGGTATAGACACTGACATGTTCAATGTATCAGTGCAGTTAAAATATATACACTTAATATTATCCTGCAAAAAAAAAAGCACTCAAGTGGCATAACTAGGCATTAAACCAATTATTCATTTATCCATTCACTCTGCATCTGTGAAGTCATCACTAGAGTTACAAATAAAAATGAATAAAAGAACTAGTAACAAAGAAAAAATCTGAACGTCAATACCCTGCCCCCACTTTGTGGGCTACTATAGTGTGCTAAAGTGACCACAAGAAAAGGATCATGAGCTATTTGAAATGCAATGACAAAATGACAACTGAAGCATTTCAAATAAAACAAAATTCAAACTAAGCCCCCCACCCCCAAATAAAAAATTCAGCAACAAGGCTGGCATTACTATGTACAAACTTACAGACACAAATAAATAGCATAACTGTTGGCGGCTTAAGCACTCAGTTAGATCTGAGTAATTTCTTAACTCTGCATCTTAGACTCCTAAATTAACCAAGGAATATAAATTCCTCATTGTTAGTAATCTATCCTCTGAAATACTGGGACTTACTGAATAACATTAATATCTGAAACTCTTTATAGAGAGCCAGAAGTTTCTAGTGAGCTTACCAAAGGATCAGCACTTTGACATCTGGAAGCCTGGATAGATTACCAGATCCCTGGGACTGGGAAGATTTCACTTCCGGTTTCCTTTGCATAGCTCTGTACCTCTATTTCTATCATTACAATGATCTCTTCTTGTGGTGTTTTTACAGGGTTTAATTTATTTTCTGTCTTAATACAGTTAAGCTGAAGTCAAAGAAGAAAGGCCTAATCTTTATTCTTGGTATTTAACCCCACATGTTCCTCAGAATTATTGGGTTTTCCTTGTTTCCAGAGAAGACAGCCAACTTTTCTGAAATATCTTAATTCTCTCAGGGCTCATCATGTAGAAAAGAAACAGATTTGAGGCACAACCTATTCTGGTTAATAATAGACCAGTTCCTGACCCTGCAGGCATGTCTATTTCTAGTCTGCAGTTTATTCTCACAGTTATGGATGCAATGAGAAAACTTCTGCAAAAGGCCTATGGAGAAAACATGAAAACTGGCACCAAAGAATCAGCTGCCATGGGAAGAATGAGAATGCTTGCTTTCTAGGGCCAGCATTGTGCTGCGAGAGTGAAGCCAACATCCACTTTGGGCTCTAGTGGGTAACCTGGACTCTGTCTGGGACAGCATGACTGATCAGTGCTTTCCAGAAACTGTCAAGGACCAAATCTCAGATTTCTTCCTTTCAGTGCTTGTTAAAGGTTCTAGAGCAAATGAGAATTACTCTCTTCATCTTAATGATCCATTCCCCGTATCCACTACTGGAGAATTATGCTCTATAACGTATGGGTATACATGCTACTCTCTCTGTCTCCCCGTCTCTCCTCCTAGGCTGAAACACATGAACCTTTCAGTTCCCCAAATGCTGTCACAAAGTCTATGATTGAAAATCTATAGTTTGGCTCTCCCTTTAGGAGTTACTACAAATGTCCTCAGTGCTTCAGTAAAGAAGTTGTTGAATAGTCTTTTTCTCTACTTAGGAAAGGCAGTTTCAAGGTCCAATACCCTCTACGTTGTCTTAGAAGTAGCCATGGCAAGTACTATGGTCCAGATGACCAGTCAACAGAGGGACAAGCAGACCACAACTTTTCAAAGCTAGAAAAAGAGATTCAGCAATGTATATTTTTAGTGCTTCAGTCTTTTATCATTCTATCCCAGAGTTAGCTTTTTCTTGGCTTGAGTTCAGAAATATCAACCTACCATCTGGGCAGACAGAAATTCTTATTATTACCACAGATTAGAAGAATGTACCTCAGGAATTTATTATTTCCGTATCACAAGACAGAACTTCCTTGCCTGGGAGCCATCTCTGAATACAAAGCGTCCATTCAGTTACTCAGTGTGAGATCCCCTACCAGAGGGATAAATGCTGTCTAAATTCCATGGGAAGGAGTGGGCTGCCACTTTCCTGACTGCAGTTTTGGTTGAGAAGGTTGTTCTTCCCTGCTGAGTTGGCCGACTTCACCAGTCAACATAAGTGCTTTATTTACTGCTGGGCTGGCGTGTGTCTCCTTGCATCATCTGAATCCTTGAAATGTTAGTGGCATCAACACTGTGAAATAGGTCCTGATTGAAAGAGTAAGACAAAGGCTTGCAACTTCAATTTGCCAGGCATCGCTGCAATTGTAATACTGAGCCACTTATTAAAAACTAAGTGGTTTCTGTCCTGTAGAAAAGGGCAGAATGTGATCGTCAATGTCCCACTGGATGAGTTGATCGATTTCCTGGAACAGTGAGAAACTGGTGAGGAACAGGACCTTGATCAGCTCCATCACATGGCCTGGGGTTAGGACACTCGGATGATCTGTGTCATTGCTTCTTCATCAGCTTGGTTTGGATCCTAGAGACGAAGATGATGTGATGATTAAAGCCCTTTGCAAAAGCAACAGGAACTCATGGCTCTCACTACTTATCCTCAAGAGAATACACACAACTTTACCAAGTAAATCAAAGGTTTGTAATATACCTTAAGACTGCATACATGGCTTAAAGTGCAGCCCTATTAGGAAAGAAGAGACAATAAACCTTATTCTTAACAATTTTAAATCTGGTTTGCACTCCATGGCGAAACACTTCCTAAAAATCTTGTGTTGCTCTCTATACTTAAGAGTTAAGGGTATTCAGGTGGCTAGGGAAAGGCCCAGAGAAACCATGTCATGCTATGTTTTTGTCGTTGTTTTTTGATCATCATTTAAATACTGAGTATTTAGCAGAGCTGGAAAGAATCATTAGAATCTATACACTTTAACGTACTCTTTTTACAGATAAATCTGAAGGCCAGATGGGTAAAGTGATTTGCCTGCACTAGGGTTAGAAAGTTAGGAGCCAGCAAAGGCTAACCCCCAACTCTTGACTCCCGTTTAATCTTCTTTCCATTGAACTCTATATGCTGTTTTTTACTTAAGACCTACAGTGTTAAGAATAAATCCTTGGAAGCTTTGTGCAACCCTCTGCCAGAACCACCTTTAGTTCTCCCATACCAAGGCCATGAAGCCTTGGTAGGGAGGATCTGAGAAGAAGCTGAAATTCTTCTGGAGATGGAAGACTGAGTCTTGAACAATGAGCAAAAACAATAACTAGCATTTGCTGAACTCACCATGCACTAGGTATGGCACTACATAGATGCCTAATGTGGATTACTGAATGAAATCCCTACTACATTCCTGTGAAGAAGTATCAACAGTATTCCACTTTACGAATAAAAATAAAAGAGGCTGAACTGACCAAGATTCATATTGTTAGCACATGGCAACATGCCCTCCTGTATCTGGCAGGCCCACATTCATACACTGTATGAATGAATAGCAATGAGAAGGGAGGAGCTCTCACACTACAGGTGAGGACTAACAGCACTGAAAGAGTTGTTAGTGTTCATGTGTGGGGACACTGAGGAAACCGAGTTTGATCACTGAGAGGTGTGATAAGGCACAGTTGCTTAGATGATATACAGAAATAGTTTGACATTTGATGCAGTTAAGAAATGAGAAACTATTTGTTAATAGCATGTATCCTTGATCTGGGGACTGGCAGTTTAAAAAAAAAACAGTTTTATGACCATCTGGCAATACTATATAAGGTCAATTAGAGGAAACTGGAGATTAATTTGATGGATATTGCAATAGTGCAGGTGGAATGTGATGTTCATATAGAATGACGTGTCAGTAAATGGGAGGAATCTATTAATTCAAGAAACACTGATTGCTTAGTTCAGAAGTGGATACTAAACCCAATAAATACATCTAAATTAAATCCAACTTACTTAAATAGAATTAAGTTCAATAAATACAACAGAGAACAAAACAATTCTCTGTGCTCTATACAACTTACAGTCTAGTGAAGGAAACAATCTTGAAAAAATTCAAAAACTTATTATTATACTGTAAAGAAAAGGCCCAGGTGCAATGGTGTGTCCTTGTAATCTTAGCACTTTGGGAGGCTGATGCAGGAGGATCGATTGAGCCTAGGAGTTTGAGACCAGCCTGACCGACATGGAGAAACCCCGTCTCTACTAAAAGTATAGAATTAGCTGGGCATGGTGGCGTGCGGCTATAATCCCAGCTACTTGGGAGGCTAAAGTGGGAGGATCACCTGAGCCTGGGAGGTCAAGGATACAATGAGCCATAATCATATCTGCAGCTTGGGCAACTCCTACCTCCCCCCACCCCAAAAAAGAAAAGCAAGATGTTTTAAGAAAACAGAGAGAAGAGACCTATTCTAGATAGGGTAGGCTAGGGTATTTAATTAAACTAAGACCTATCAGATAGGAATACAGCCATGAAAAAAGATGCCGTTAAAGGGCATACAGACTGAAAATTCTAAGGACAAAGGCCCATGGCAGGAAACAGACCAATGAACAGTAAGCAAAAGCACAGAGACCAAGAAGTAGAAATGAAGTTAGAGGTAGACAGGAGCTGGAGCATGTAAGGCTTTGCTGGCTGTGGTAGTAAGCCCTTGGGATTTTAGTCCAAGTGCAAATGGGAAAGGGTGGGGTTTGAAGGAGCTTGATCAGAACAGTGACTTGATAGGATAAACACTGAAAAAAGACCACACTAAGATGTGGCAAGTAGGCTACAGGGGGACAAGAGTAGAAGAAAGGAAATTAGGCAGCTATTTTATAAATCAAAGCCAAATAAGAGAGGATTAGACCAGGCTCACATCAGAAGGGAAAAAAGTAAACATTCAAATTATATTTGTGATGGGGTAATAAAACTTGTTCCTTGAAAATTAAGAAAACTGCAATTTTCTAGAAAGAATTAACAGTAATAACTGATAAAGATGAAGAGCAAAGAAAGACCACTGGATTAAAAACCTTTAGTATTCTTTCTTCTTGAGACAGGGTCTCACTCTGTCACCCAGGCTGGAGTGCAGTGGTGCCATCCTGGTTCACTGTAGCCTCAACCTCCTGGGCTCAAGAGATCCTCCCATCTCAAACCACCAAGTAGCTGGGACCACAGGCATGCATCACCAGGCCTGCATCATTTTTGTATTTTTTGTAGAGATGGGGTTTTGCCATGTTTCCCAGGCTGGTCTTCAAATCCTGGGCTTCCCGCCTCAGTCTCCCAAAGTGTTGGGATTACAGGCATGAGCCACCATGCCTGGCCTGGTGATTTTAGGATAAAAGAGAATCTAAAAAGACACAGAGTGCATCCAGTTTAGAGAATGTGAGTAGTCCCAAAGTATGAACATAGCAAGAGGATACTGCTGAAGGCTTCAACTCAGGTCAATACAAGGTAATAAAGAGAAAAATAAAAGGTGTAAGTCTTTTTACCTGCATATGGGGACTATCCTTTTCCTTTGGAGAGAAAAATCGTCCACCTTCACCACGCTTCCGTGCCATGGCATGACGGTGCCGAGACTCATGCAGGTATTTCTGAAACAAGAAAAAAACCATTTAACTATTAATACTATCCAGAACCAGCACAGTTATCTAGTGTACAAATTCCATTCTCCAAAATTTAAGACAACTGGGATCAAAGCCACAGGGACAATTATGACTTAGAATGATGATGAAAGCTTTGGAGAAAACACCTATTAAGACAGCTAACCATATATATAACTACTGTAAGAATGTGAATGCTTCCAGCATGAATTTTAAAAAGTAACAGAGATTACCACCTATACTTTCCGACATATACCCTTCCCTTCTGCTGTAACAACAGGCCAAATTTCATTTGGGGAAATGAGTGTTCAGTAAAGACTTTCCTGGCATTAAAGTTTATTATTATTATTTTAGAAACGGGGTCTCATGCTGACACCCTCGCTGCTGGACTATAGTGGCATGATCATGAATCACGGCAGCCTCAAATTCCTAGGCTCATGTGATTCTCCTACCTTAGCCTCCCAAGTAGGACTACAGGCATTTGCCACCACACCTGGCTGGACTTTCCTAGCCTTATCTGCATGTAAGTGTGATCAGGTAGCTTAATTGTGGCTAGTGAAAGGTACAGAACTTCTTGAAAGTTTCCTTATAAGAAAGGGTAACTGGCCAGGTGTGGTGGCTGATGCCTATAATTCTAGCACCTCGGGAGTCCAAGGCCGAGTGGATCTCCTGAGGTCAGGAGTTTGAAACCAGCCTGGCCAACATGGTGAAACTCTGTCTCCACTAAAAATACAAAAATTGGCCGGGCGCAGTGGCTCACGCCTATAATCCCAGCACTTTGGGAGGCCAAGGCAGGTGGATCACGAGGTCAAGAGATTGAGACCATTCTGGCCAACATGGTGAAACTCCATCTCTACTGAAAAATAAAAAAATTAGCTGGGCGTGGTGGTGCGCGCCTGTAGTCCCAGCTACTCAGGAGGCTGAGGCAGGAGAATTGCTTGAACCCAGGAGGCAGAGATTGCAGTGAGCCGAGATTGCGCCACTGCAGTCCAGCTTGGTGCCTGGCGACAGAGCAAGACTGTGTCTGGAAAAAAAAAAAAAATTAGCTGGGTGTGGTGGGACACACCTGTAATCCCAGTTACTCAGGAGGCTGAGGCAGGAGAATTGCTTGAACCTGGAAGGTGGAAGTTGCAGTGAGCCAGGATTGTGCCACTGCACTCCTGCCTGGGTGATAGACTAAGACTTCATCACACACAAAAAAAAAAGGGAAAGAAAAAGAAAGGGTACCTTTCTTGTTCCCTTTCTTCCTAGGTTGGAACCTAAGCAGGAATCTTAGTAAACCAAATTCTGTATTTAGCACCCTAGCAATATTAGAGCAGTGAAACAGGTCTTGAGAACTGTGAAAATGTGCTATCAGTCCAGGATAATTTATCTGTGCTCTACTTTTATGTATGAAAAGGAATAAAATCTTACTTAAGCCATTGTTTGTTTTTGTTGTTATAACTGCAGTTGCATACAGTAATAACAAATGCTAACTCTTACCAGAGACAACAGGTACCTAATGTCAACTGTTTGGAAGGTACTCAAGAAAACAAGCCATATAAAAGATAATTTCAAAAGTAGAACTCTGCTATTCTCTCCTATGTCCTTCGCAATGTTTTACACACCCTCCTCTCCTTCGGAATTTTCCCTTCTGCCTCTAGTTTAGCCCGGGCTTGCCTCCTCTTAAGAATACGGTGGTATTGTTTGGCATTCACATAGAGAGGTTCTTCTTCAAGCATCTCTGCTCCAGGTAGAGGGATTCTTTGGATAGCAGGCACAGAGCCAGCCCCAGGAACCATCTGTGTGAACAGAAAACCAGAGCTTGTTGATGGCATGAAGTATGGACACAGAAACAGTTTTTTGGTTCCTCTTCATCCATTTTTTTCTAAATGCCACAAAAAGTAACTTTTAGAGGGTACTTGGGTAAATGCAGATCCCTTGAGAAATTTACACTAAAGATCTGCACTTTAAACAAACACCCCAGATACTGTGTCATAGGGGGTTCAGGAGCCACCTTGAGAAACAATATAACCATGCCCAAATTCATGTCCACCTGTGGCTCTAGATATTTCTGCTGCCATCTAATGGTCAGGAATAGTAGTCATGAGACAGAAAAGAGCACAAAAATATATAGACCAGGTGCTACTAAATGTCTATATTTATAAAAGTAATTTAATAGTTAACTTATAATTCAATCCTATTTTTTCTTTAAAAACACCAAGAAAACACTGTACTAAATGTATGTGAAAACAAGTAACAAATGCCTGTACCCCACAGCTCTTTCCAAACTATAACCACTTTGAATAACTATATTGATTCTTTTCTAAAAATTATTTATCATTTAGTTAGTTAGTAGAGACAAGGTCTCTATACGTTGCCCAGGTTGAGCTCAAACTCCTGGACTTAAGCCATCTTCCTCCTTTAGCCTCCTAAATAGCTAGGACTATAGGTGCATGCCACTGAGTCAGGCTTTGTTCTCTTCCTTTTCACAGCTTCCTTTACTATGTCCAGACTTCCGTTACTCATTCTTAATTTATGCATATAACATCCCATTTTGACATGAGGATTTGGCTTTCACTCATACCACCCAACTCTTCGTATCTTCCCAATACATTTACATCACACTTTTTTTTTTTTTTTTTTTGGTATCTCTATCAATTACAGTCTTTCTAATTGCTAGCTTCTTTCTTATTTCATCCATCATGGACAATGCTACTTTCTAATTCTCAAAGATTAGTATATTCTTCCCTTCATTATTTGAATTCTGAAAAGAATTGCATAAAATCACTATTTATCCATTGCTTTATCTCCAGCATCTAGACCAGTCCCTGGCACATAGTAGGTGCTCAGAATGAATTATGGTTTGTCATAATGTTATTGTAAAAGTAGATTACTGACAGTGCCCTAAGGATCAATCTCGATCCCAAGAGGTCAGTATAATAAACAGATTTTATGAGGCATCAAGTTGCATGTTCAAGAAAATATCAAAGACAAAGCTGAAGAATACATTATCTTACCATGACCATTCCTCCTGAATTGACCACATTGCCCGCCACTGGTAGTGTCACAGTGACAGTCCCTTGCCCACTGCTGGTTGTGTTGGTATTGGCTCCTGTCTGAACAATCTGTGCTCCTGCCAGACTGGCTGCTGGGATAGTAATCATGCCTGAAACAGGGACTGTAACTTTAAGAAAACAAAACATAAAACAAACAAAAAACAGGCACACAGAACAGAAAGAAGGGAACACAGTTAGTCCCTCTTCTATCTGGTACACATTCATTCATCCTGGCAGAACACACTGAAAAACACAAAGGGAGAAAAAGTACTCTCTCACTCTGGTGTGCTACATAAAATCCAAGTAATCACAATATCTGAAATTCTATTAAGTATCTAGGTCCCAGTTGTAAGTAACTCTGTCCTTAGCAGTTTCAAAAGGTGAAAAGGTTTGGAAGCCTCCTCTTCTATAGGTCAGCCTGACTAGCTATACCTATTGCTCTTGGACATATGAGCAATCTGCTTCACGACAGAGATTTTATAAACTTATACTTTATCTCAAACTGACAATGAGTCAGTTGTAGTATTAAAAGTTAAAATTAAACCAAGCATTCCAAGTCCCCCAACTATCAACAGCAGCACTTGAGGATTTGTTCATCATTCTGTTTGAGCTCTTGCCTGGGCTCAATCCAGTTCAGGGCCTCCCCTGAATTATACAAGAGCATATAGTTACTGCACTCTCTGGACCTTGTATATTGCAAATTTTCAATCACAAAGTCATGGAATCTAACAAAGATGTCCTTTTTTGATTTAACAATTTGACTGAAGTGCTTCTAAATGCCTTCAAGTTCAGTTTGTGCACTCTTGCTCCCAGGCCAAGCAGATTTCTCCATTATTTACATTATCCATTCCTAGAACATACTTCTGCGAGGGCCCTGAATTTTATTTATTTGTTCAAAAGTCTCTCTTACTAGACTGGAGGCTCTTTGAGAACTCTTCTTAGTAAAAGTGCTGTATATATGTAGTTATATAAGGAAACTGAGTGACCCAGAAAAAAACATAAGCCGCAATAGTACTCTAAAGTCAACCTGATTTTTGATCTATTTCTCTTTACTAATAAACTCTCTATTTCTAATCTCCTATTTAGAAATATTTCTTCCCTAAATGCTTACACAATCCCTAGATTAACAGCCACTGTTGGAACTCCTACACATGGAATCACTGTTGGTCATGGATGGTAACAAAAAACTAACAATCATTGGAGAGCTAAAGGAAACCTTTTTTTTTTTGTCCAAAACGTATGTGGTGTCAAGTTCACCACTAAAATTCTAAAGATGTCAGCTGCCTAAGGGACAATAAAGTTGCCCCAAGAAGTCCTACGGAAACCTATGGGTACACTTACCTTGCTGGAGAATGGTGCCATCTGCATTAACTGGCTGATAGACGATGGTCTGCCCTTCAGCAGTCTGTGCCACTTGCTGTCCCTGGACAGCAATCTGCTGCTGTGTCTGGAGGAAATAAATAATGACACAATTCAATAGATCCCAAATATACTAACAAAGGAAAGAATCATGTAGTCCTCAAAAAAATTTTGAGAGAGTCCGCTCTGTCACCAGGATGGAGTGCAGTGGCGTGATCTAGGCTCACTGCAACCTCCACGTCCCAGGTTCAAGCAGTTCTCCTGCCTCAGCCTCCTGAGTAGCTGAGATTACAGGCATGTGCCACCACGCCCTGCTAATTTTCTTATTTTTAGTAGAGATGGGATTTCACTATGTTAGCTATGATGGTGTCAATCTCTTGACCTGGTGATCTACCTGCCTTGGCTTCCCAAAGTGTTGGGATTACAGGCGTGAGCCATGGTGCCAGGCCAAAAAAAAAAAAATTTTTTTTAATGGTTTTCATCCCGTTTTTACTATACATGAAATATGACTCTTCCAAATCAGTTGTGTTCCTTTGTGACAAAGCTAGTGGAATTACCTGAGTCTGGCCAGCAGTCACGGCCGTCTGGGGCTGCTGGATGATGATCTGCTGGGTCTGGCCCTGCTGGCCCTGCACCTGCACAGCCTGTCCACCTTGGATCTGGATCTGTCCAGGTGGGACCAACTGTATCTGCAAAAGAGAACATAAAAAAAAAGGGGATTGTAATCTACTGACACTGGTCTCCTTCGGTTCCCGAGAGTTATCCACATTTCTCTAGAAAGCAGAAAATGTTCTGAAGAGGAAAAAAGAAGTCCTGCTCTGCCCTCGATTATGAAGTAGAGACAAGTTATTTACCATTTATGAAACAATCAGGGAATTTCAAACACTGTCTGGATAACTCATATTAAGAAATCAATGTCAGTTTTTATAAAAGATAGCAGTGGCATGATTATATATACTGAAAAGCATGTATATTTAAAATACACTCTGGGCCGGGAATTGTGACTCACACCTGTAATCCCAGCATTTTGGGAGGCTGAGGTGGGTGGATCACTTGAGGTCAGGAGTTAGAGACGAACTTGGCCAACATGGTGATACTCCCATCTCTACTAAACATACGAACATTAGCCAGGCATGGTGGTGCATGCCTGTAATCCCAGCTACTTGGGAGACTGAGGCAGGAGACTCACTTGAACCGGAGGCGGAGGTTGCAGTGAGCCAAGAACGTACCACTGCACAAACTGAACGTATTCCAGCCTGGGCAAAAGAGTAGGACTCTTGTCTCAATAAAATTAAACAAACAAAAAACACTGTGAAGTATTTTTACTATTATTTTTTAACCTTGTCATTTTGGTGAATGATGAAGTACTTCTTTACAGAGGAAATAATAAATATATTAAAAATGTTGAGAGCTAGGCACAATGGCTCACACCTGTAATCCCAGCACTTTGGGAGGCTGAGGTGAGCAGATCCAGTCAGGAGTTTGAGACCAGCCTGGGCAATATGGCAAAACCCCCTATCTACTGAAAAATATAAAAATTATTTCAGGCATAGCAGCACATGCCTGTGATCCCAGCTACTTGGGGAACTGAGGTGGAAGGGTCACTAGAGCCTGGGAGGCAGAGGTTGCAGGGTTGCAGTGAGCCAAGATCCGTACCACTACACTCCAGCCTAGGCAATAGTGAGTAACTGTCTCAAAAAAGCAAACGAAGAAAAAACGCAAAATGTATTCTACCCTAGTCAAATGTGACTGCAGCCCAGGAGAACACCTTGATAAGGGCCTTGAGAAAGACCCTGAAAGAACCCAACAAAGCCGTGCCAGGATTCCTAACTCATAGAAACTGTAAAATAAATGTTTGTTATTTTAGGCTGCTAACTTCTAGGACAATTTGTTATGCAGTAATAGATAATTAAGGCAATGTGACAGATTATATTCCTCCTGTTAGTTTCCAATAACCTCACCAGTACTCACTACTGTCATTAATGTTTGTCAAATTTTTGTTGATTTAATTTGTATCTCCTATTTGGTCCTAGGACTGGATAGCTAAACCTTAGATAGAATTATGGAAAGCAAGCGATCGTGTGCTGTTCAAATCTATTTTCTTTCTTTTTTAAATGGCTATAGCCAGTTTATTAGGAGTATTATCAGAAACCTGACAAGAAGCTTGAAAAATATTTCTCTAAAATTTTGGAACTAAAAAACTGCAATACAGTTTAAATGCTGGGTGTACAAAATCCTATTTTCACATAACTAGTGGACGCATTTTTTTTTAAGCTCAAAAGAGAAAGCAGTTAGGAAAACCCCACAGCTCAAATTTCTAGTATTTTATATTCAAAAATACCTCCCAAACTTAAAAGTGAGAATACATGGCTACTCAACTAGGTTTTCCCCCAAAGCCCCTTCACCTCCCTTCTCTATTTCTTTAATCATTCATTCCATCAACAAACTTTTTATTTGAGCATTGCTTCAACAGAGGTGGCACTTTGGAAGGAGGATACTTTCAGAAAGATGGATTTTTATAGCCAGGTCGCTTTTCATCCAAAATTTCAACTTGGACCAACCTGGTCAGGAGAGAAGAACATGCCTGGAACCTTAAGTTATCACAAAATCTACCAGTTGATAGAAAAAAGGACTACTAATAAAACGAAGGTGAAAAAAACAGGTCAATGGGTTCCATGTCTTAGCGACATTCATGGTTCCTCCTTTGTTAGGGGATAGATTGCCTAGGTTTTCTTAATTATTTTTTCCAAATACTTAGCTCATAATTAGCATTCAGAAAGTACTGGCAAATAAATAATTAAGCAAATTTATCTGGTTATGTGAACCTATTTCATTTCTGAGTTTATACTGGCTATTAGGTTTCCATGTCCATCTATTCATATTCTTTGCCCATTTTCTACTTTTGTATAAATACATAAAAGTTATTTATATATATTCTGAATACAAACTCAGTAATATGTATTAAAAATATCTTTTCCAAGTCTTCACCTTCGTTACATTTATATTTCAATGCATATTTTAAAGTAAAGTCAATTTGTTTTTAAGAAATCCATCTCTATTGCATAAAAATTACTCCGGTATTTTCTTTTGAATTTTCTAAGTTTGCTTTTCTACATTAGATCTTTAATCTATCTAGCAAATATTTAAAAAAATATAGTATGAGGTAGAAATCAAATTTTTTTCTGTATCATTCTTCAGCCATTTCTTCACTGAAGTTTACACCACTTTAATTATATGCCAACTTCCAACATTCTTCTATCTGTTTCTTGGCTGTCTTTCTGGTTCCAGTGTCTTTCTCAGGCCAAGGATCTTAATCTAAAATTGTATGTAGAATTTTGCATGTGACTGGACATCTGTACTTTTTCTTACAGGGTGCAAGCTTTACTAGGATTCTAAGATAGAGAATATACTTCAAAAAAGGTTAAGAAGTACTCTTCTTTAACAAATGGCTACTCAAAGAACACTAATGAGAGAAAAAAACCTCTTATACATAAAGCATTATAAGGTAGGCTATGGAATCTCACCTAGAGCTTTATTTATGTAACAGAATATATATTTTTCTGCCCAGTTAGTTATAGCCCTACTTGGAAGCAGGGAAATAAACAACTCTTTCAAGGTTCCTTATAGCAAAATAAAACCCTATAAAAATCACAGAATTTAGAGCTAGAATGAACCCTAGATGTCATCTCATATAAATTTTATTTTTGGATGAGCAAACAGATAATTAAATAACTTGGCCAAGATTAGAATGCTTGTTTAATGGCAGACCTGGTGATGAAAGCTGGATCACTACACTCACAGTATACTATTTCTAACTATACCACATTGTCTCTACTGAACAGTGGAGAAGGCGGCACAGCAAGCAGGGCTGGAGAGAAGAACAGAAGCAAAGACAGAGGAACAGAAAGGATGTAGCAATGGGAAATTGAGGAAAGCACATGCTAAGAAGATATTTAAAGCCTCATATATTCATGCATGGAGAAATGGAAAAACTATTTTTAATCCCAACTATAATTCTATCTTGGCAAAAATATGCCAATGGGCTCAAATATGCTCTTACCCTTTGCCAAGCAATCCCCAATCCAAAGAAATTACCCTGAGAATTCAATTGAAAAATAAAACTATCATGCCCAAGTATGTTTACCAACAAAAGCAAATGAAAACCAAAATCCTTAACTATATTTTATAAATTAGAAATTCTGATTCATCAAATTGACTGAACATTATGAAAGAATTAAAAAAAAACCAACAATAACAACAATGAAACAACCTCGCATGCATGGTACAATTATGCCAAAAAATTATGATAAAAACACAAGAGAATACGTAAAAAGCACAAGTTTGATTTATAAGCAGTGTGATCATGGTTGCTTTTTTCAACTGAAATTCCTCCAGAAAATTAAGACGTTAATGTGGTTGCGATAACTGTTGAAACAAGATAAAGATTTACGTAGAGTAAAAAGCTAATAGTTCTCCCTCATACTCCCTTTTCCATGTCTATAAACATATACTCATGGGGGTTTGGTTATGAATTACAAAGATGAGATCACACACTATTTCTCTGCAAATTATTTTCACTAAAAATATTTCAATATTAACCCACCCACTTCAATAGTTCATTTCATTTTTTTTTTTTTTTTGAGATGGAGTTTTGTTCTTATTGCCCAGGCTGGAATGCAATGGCACAATCTCACCACAACCTCTGCCTCCCGAGTTCAAGTGATTCTCCTGCCTCAGCCTCCCGAGTAGCTGGGATTACAGGCATGCTCCACCATACCCAGCTAATTATTTTTTAGTAGAGATGCAGTTTCTCCATGTTGGTCAGGCTGGTCTCGAACTCCTGACCTCAGGTGATCCACCTGCCTCAGCCTCCCAAAGTGCTAGGATTACAGGCATGAGCTACTGCGCCCAGCCCATAGTTCATTTCTTTTAATGATGATGCAGTAGTCCATATGGGAATATATTAAGATTTATTCCAACCATTTCCTTATTCTATTAATGGACACTCAGATTACAATTTTATTTTTTGCTAGTACAATGCTATGACAAGTGTCTTTGTAATGTCTCCCTAGTACTGATGCTTTTCTTCCTATAGGATTCTCAGAAGTGTAACTGCTAGCTCAAGTGTTCATTGTATTTAACAGATAGTGAGATGCCTTTCCCAAATAACTTCACCGTTTGAAATTACCAAAAATAATGATTAATTCTTTTTCTCTACATCCATCCTAGCAGTGGATATAGTGACTCTTTTTGGTTCTTGCCATCCTGATGAGATATATCTAATTTTTAAAATTTGATGCCACAGTGTTGTATGTAACACTTCCACATATTTCCTTTAATCTCTTCTTTTTTTTTTTTGAGACAGAATCTTCCTCTGGTGCCCAGGCTGGAGTGCAGTGGCACAATCTTGGTTTACTGCAACCTCCACCTCCCAGGTTCAAGAAATCTCATGCTTCTACCTCCCGAGTAGCTGGGATTACAGGTACGTGCCACCACACCAGTTTTTTGTATTTTTAGTAGAGATGGGATTTTGTCCTGTTGGCCAGGCTGGTCTTGAACTCCTGGTCTCAAGTGATCCACCTGCCTTGGCCTCCCCAATCGCTGGGATTACAGGCATGAGCCACCCCGCCTGACCTTCCTTTAATCTCTTCTACATCTTTGCTTACTTTTGTTTTGTGTTTCTCAATCCGTCTTTCAACTGGATTTACCTGTTTTATTGGTCTGTTTAAACAATCTAGATTTTACTTACCCTTTCTATATGTCAGTTTTCTACTTAATTGACACATTTTTGCTTATTTTGTTATTTTTCTAACTTTCTAAGAATATTCATTTTTGCTTCTTTTAAAATAAAATATACTATAAACTAGATTCTAACCTCTTTACATACTTTATAGCAATTCAAGCTCATGCCTAATATCTTAATCTTTACTGGAGCTGTCCAATTTCTGCATAGTTCTAGTTTGTATCACTGGTACTAACTACAAAAGCAGAAAATCAACTAAATGCAAAATGTGGGTCAGGAAGCAGTTAAATGCAACATCAATGATCAGTTTGTAACAATCTATTCTTTGAAACGTCTCATCTGATATAGTACTCAACATTTTTTAATACTACTCACCTGTTGCAAACCCTGTGTTCCAGAAACAGGTACTTGCATGATGGTTTGACCTTGTCCACCAGGGACAGCCTGGACCATGATGGGTTGGCCAGTTGATGTGATTAGCTGGCCTCCACTGACCTGCACCATTAATGGCTGCCCTTGGACCTAGAATGAAATAAAATAAGAACAATGAAATAACATAAGATACAAATTGGTTTTTACCAAAAGAAAATCACTGGAACTATTCTTCTGCCTTGCTAGAGAAGGAAAAGATAGAAAAGACACTAAGAAAGTATGTCTTAAGTCCTTAAGTTATTTTTAAGTATCTATGATATCTGTTACTACATGCCAATTTCAATACTTTAAGGTCAGACATAATAGAGTATATCCAGAGTCTCTGAGAAGTCTCAATAGATATAAGGCATTTGTCACTGAACTTTGAGAAGTCTCAATAGATATAAACATTTGTCACTGACAAACATTTAATCATAATGGCAAGGTTAGTTGCCTGTTTAAACCAATCCAGAAATGGTCTCTAGTGAAGGCTGGGAGAGGAGGGAATGAGAGGGAGAGGTGATGGTGGTGATGGTGGTTGAGTACAAATTTTAAATAATGTGAAGGAAGTAAATCAAACTCTACCCAGCAATGACTCTAAGAGGCTGGACAGCAAGCAGCTCTGTAAGGAAGCTAATGTAGAGGATGACCCTTTTCTCCCTATAGTCTCTCAAGCTAAAACGAAATGTCTAACGTATACCTTTACCCTGCTCATTTTACTCTGTTAATTCTAGATAGGTTTGTTGTTGAAAGAGCCCACTACTAAAGATTTCCTAAAAATATTTTCTGGTCAGTTTGTAGTCTCTATGGTGGAATTCCTCACACTGGCCTCTGTTATATCCACATGGTTATTTTAGCTTTATCAGAAGCAACAACAAATATTGAAATTACACAGAGCAGTCAAGTGTACAAACTTCAAGCTCCTGTGAGTACACAGACTACCGTAGGAGCCAGGTCACTACAAGTGCTCTGTCACATCTTGAGTCCCAATACAAAATACCTAATAGAATGCTTTCTGGAAGCACTTTAAAAATGCTTTAGAAGTAAACTGTAATGATCCATGGATTGGTCCAAAACTTTCATTTTCAGACTCTATCTTTGTTTTGACAGAAATTACTTGTAACACAAGAGAATATTCATGACTGAAATACTCACACTTAATGGTAGTGAAAGTATGTGCAAATAACAACAATTAGTTAAAAGATCGTTCTGTCCTAGATGAGTAGGTTAGATAGTAAGATCTTCCCTACAATCACCATCACCAGCACCACTGCCGCCACACCACTAATGTATTAGAATCACCAGGAACACTGAAATCCTAGGTTTTGTTAAACTGTCCACTGAGAACCTTTACTTTTTTAAGGACTTTACAGCCTGACTTTCTCATGCTATCTCCTTCCCTTATTTCCTCATTCCAAATCAAATCCCCTTTGCTACACCAATGCTGGCATAGTCTGTATCAAGAAAGATTTCTCAGAATACATATAGCATGAATAACCAATAACTATTTAAAATTCTCTCCAAATAATGGGATCCCTAGAGGAAAGGTTCCTATTATTTCCATAAAGTGTTTCCGCTTCTTTTAAATAAAATCTATGTAAGTAGGAGACACAAGTTTTAAGATACAACTATTAATAATTTTTTATCTATTCATCATCTTAATTTCCTCCCCCACTGATATGCTATTCATGCACATGATAAATATATGATACTCCAAAGAGCTCACTGTGTTTGCAACAGAAAAATGATTACAAAGACACATGCATCGAACAAGAAGCCATACAGTTAAGAGCATGTTACATTTCTATTCCACAAGGGGTTAATGACAATCCAAAATACTGTTTTATATATGAGTAAGATGAAACAAGCATGAAAAACATTAACAAGCTGTTGGACTGTGAGATTTGAATACAGTTTTGGAGTGCCTACAAAGTCAGTTTCTTTCAGCTCAATTTATGTTCAAAGTTGGCTGTACATCATTACCAAACACTTTTGGTGGCAGGGGTAGGCGTGGGACTGAAAGGATAAAGTGAAATGATGACAATAAGAAGTAGTTATCTGCAGAATGCTTAGCAGCACTAGCAATAAAGTGAGATGCTGGACTTTGAATCATTTCTAATTCAATGGAGGGAAAAAGTTGGGTACCCAAATCTTGCCAATTTCTCAAAAATATAGTCATTTTAATAAAAGTAACCTACATACCCAGAGTAGACAAGTGCTCCTACTCCTATTTCTTACAGGAACTGGCCAAATTATAACCCAATTTAAGATACTTAGCCATACACAATGTTAAGGAACTGTACTGATTAATCAAGAATTATCACTGTGGCTTTAACACCTAAGACTTACAGAAAGTATATCCTGCTTCTGCCTAACCAAGAGGCATCTGGGGTAGTCTCTGCAGATCTAGTGATAAGACAGGTCACTATTTCCCCAGGAAAGGTAGTGGAAACAATAGCAGTTAACAAGAGATTAACAAGATTCAGTGCTTAGATAAACCTTGCCAAGTCTAATTTTTCAGTTGAGTTGCCCCTTTAACAAAAATAAAGCACAGCCTAGCCTAGACAGTCATGTGTCTATCTTTGTATATATTTCCTTCTCCATTATAACACAAATATACAAAATTTTTACCATGCAATTAATTGGATCAGAGTTTCTAATGTCACTTTAAGAATTTATTCCTGTCACTTATAACATATCTTTTGTAGGCATTTTCAAAGAAACACACTAGTCAAATCCAATTCTTAGAAAATTGATATGGGGTATCTATATGACTTGGCACGAAACATTAGGAAACTGGCATCTTATAAGCCTCAAAGACAAGTTAGCATCATCAAAGACATGCAACTGACTTTGCCATTCCTACTGGAGATCCTAACACAAACAGCACCAGACATGAGGAGAGAAGTTCATGCAGTGCTCACAGAGAATCAGAGAGGGTACCACTACCTGGAGGGTCTGGACTTGCTGGCCTGAGGCGGATGCCACCTGGGCCTCAGTCTGCAACTGCACAGCAGTGACACCACCCTGCTGCTGAGAACAGGAACAGGAAGAGCTTGAAATATGTCAGGAAGGAAATGTGTAGTTCAAGACATGAGATCACCTTACCTCTTGGAGGAGAGGGAGGGAAGCCCCACCCTACACAGGACTTTCAAAATGTACAGACTCCCTATATTGAAGCTGTTTTGTTGAAGGTAGTAGGATTAAAGATATTAGCCCTTTGCCTCCAGAGTGGACCTCAAAATGGGACTCAAAAACTCAAAATAGTTGTCATCATTAACTATTGATGCATTTGTAATGCAATCTTTCCCTCTAGAAATAGGAATCTGATACTTCTACTTAACACAATTATTTAATGCCCTTTTTAACTCCTCTAATGCGTTCACAAGAAAATAATGATTAGGTTTTAATAGCCCTGAAACTACCAAAAAATTCTGGGGCTTAAATGCAATCACCGTGAACCAAAATCATCTTAATGAGGTCAATGCTCTTATGCCCCAAAACTATGATTTTTTTTTTAACCTTCATTTATTTACTTATTTTGAGATGGGAGTCTAGCTGTTTTGCCCAGGCTGGTCTTGAATTCCCAGGCTTAAGCCAACCTTTCTGTCTCAACCTCCAGAGTAGCTGGGATTACAGGCATGCATCAGCATGCCCCACTTCAAAACTAAGATTATTTCTACCCAACTGGACTGCTTTGAGGGCCATGTTTTCAGTGATTCAACCTTATTTTATATCCACGAATGGTAAATTCTGAAGGAATAAAAACCCACCCTCCAGGGCACTGGTCTGAATGGAGGGCCTTTTGTGGAATCCCCTTCTCTAAAAAGGCGGTTGAAGGAAACTGCCAGAGCCACAGCAGCTGTGTGGAAGGGAAAGCTATCAAGGGAGTTTGTCTTTTCATTAAGAGTAGCTCCTTCCTTTGATCATTAGATGGGAACAACTCATCATCAATACTTCCTTTGCCCTCCCTACTACTTTTCTATATTAGCTAAATTCCATTTCAAAAACAAAGTATCTCCAAAATATCAATCTTGGCCTAAGGTCAAATAGAAGCATAATAAATTTCTTTTTTTCGAGGGGTGGGAAATAAGTGAAGTTTTACTGTAATAAACACAAGCATAAAGCATCAGAAAATGTAACCTGCGTATAAATTCAAGAAAGCAATCTATTAATAAGGAATAAACCACCAGCAGGAAATTCCTTTCTAATATGTGCTTATCTATAAGAATTGCTGTCTAAATATTATCCTAATATTAAACCACAACTTTTCTGAATAAAAAAATGTGGCAGACCAAATCAAAGAACAGAAGATTTCTAGGAAGCCATGTTGGTTTGTCTATTGTGGTCAAAGGCTTACTAAATCACAGGTTAAGCTCAAACAAGAAGAGAAAAAGACCAAATAGAATCCAGAAAAAAAGAAAAGTCCAAATTTCCATCTGAAAACCAGACTAGATGTTTTTACTTTTAATGAGATAAAAGATGCAATTTACTATAACCAGGCACCCATGAAGAGTAGATTCTAAGTGGTCACGGGCTGGACATGGCACTTCAGCACAAGCCATCAGACCCAGTATTTCACAAGATCTGGTACCTTTCAAATAATTCCCCTGGGTAATACACCAACCAATTGAAGGGTGCTGTTATCAGTTTCATTGATGTAATGTTTAAAGCAGTTTTACTTCCATACCTGCTGCTGAATCTGTCCTGCCTGGACAACAATCTGCTCTGTCGAACTATTGCTGTTTGCTGTATACTGCTCCATGGTCCCTCCAAGTGAGATTCCTGTCCACTCTGGAGATCCTAGAAGGCTGTGAGGTACACTCCTATTAGAAAGGTGGGGAAAGAAACTAAAGTGAGATTGTCAATAAAGGCCTTACCAGGCAATCAACCTGGATAATTTATCACTGTACATTATTTACAAGAAAACAGGATAATAGGAAATGTTTATATTTAGTATCATTTTCAACTAAGATTACATGGCACAATCATAACACAACGCTATTTTCACGTTTCTAAAATGCTTTCAGTCATTTCTTATTGGCAATCTTACCTTTCAAAACTGTCAGAGCAATATCTGCACCTTAGAGCTACTCATTAAGCTACAACATCACTTTAATAAAAGGCCTATATTAACACTGATTTTCAGGTTTGCACATATACTCTAGAGAATAAAGCTTCTTTAAGTTGTAACACATAATTGCTTCCCTCCAAACATGTTACTCAAGCCCACTACATATGGTAAAATCTACCCTTCTCATAGACTTTAAGAGTTGAAGATCCACTTTCAAAAATAAGGACACAATTAGATAAACTGAAGTGGTATCTGAGACCTTTAATAAAGACTTTGTTTAAAAATTTAAATGATATAAATTCGAAACGAGCAATTCATCTTGGAAATATGGGAGGGACGACAGATACATAAACAAAAGTGTAGATAGTCCTTTCCCTCCAATTTCTCACCAGACCCTCATAAATTCCAATATCTGAATGATAAAATGATGTGACCTAACTGAGCTGCTCATTGTGGTGGCAAAGTAGAGTACCACTCCACAGAAATCCACACATGCTGGTGGAATTAGTCACTTGTAAGGGTGTCTCAATACAGTCTGAAAGAAGAAATCAAAATATGTGCAAGTGTATGTCCGAGTACTTAGAAAGAAGTGTACTGATATCTAAATTTACTTTGAAATGCATCAAAAAAAAGAAAAAAAAAAAAAAGAAAAAAGAAAACTGGATGAATGGGTGGAGAAATATCTGGTAAGGCAATTATAGTAAGATGTTAATAATAGACTCTAACTGGCAGGTATACAGGTGTTTATCTTCAAATTCCTTTGATATCACTGCACACTTGAAAATTCTTATACCAGAATGTTGGGAAAAAATATAATAAAATTTAATCAAAATAAAAATTAAGCCCATTACATAATCAAAATGGATACAATGTAAGACTATATAAGCCATAAATAACAGGCTGTGTCATCACAGCAAGATGACTTGTGGCCATATGGTTCTCCGAAGCACTGCTCTTGTGCTAGTGGAATGCTCACTAGGCAGATTTCTAGCTATAATTTGGATTTACATATAGATTGGCCAACAAGGAATAAATATAATCAGCAACATAAGTAAACTCAATCGTTATTTTTCATTCCACACTGGCCAACTGGTTTTCTTATTTTTACACCAGTCTCTTTGGAATTGGTTGACAACTAAGTCTGCTCCTCAGAGATTCTAGGTACAGAATGGAAAATCAGGTTTTCAGCCAGACTGTGAGTCTATTAGGGACACTGACAGGCTTCCCTAAATTCTATTTTATCTCTAATACACAATACATTTGTGTTTGTAAACTTATTATGATGTAAAAGAATATATATGATTCCATTTATATAAAATCTCCAAAAGACATCAGTAATCTAGAGACAGAAAATAGATCAGTGGTTCCTTGGGAGTAGAGGTTACAGGGAGACAGGAATGAGGGAGGCTGACTGGCAGGGAGCATTAGGAACGTTGTAGGGTGATGAAAATGTTTTCTATCTTCATTGTGGTAGTGGTTGCACAGGTATACAGATTTGTCAAAGCTCATCAAAATACTTAAAATTATTACACATTGTGTCTAAACTATCTCTCAATAAACTGACTTTAAAAATAAGGATCATGAAAGGAATGTCTTTTCGGTCTCAATGCCTCCCCCACTCCAAATTTCCTTCTTGTGTGATATTTTTTTCCTTGACTAATACCCAGACCATTACATCTTAAGATGTACATTTACAAGAGTAAAATATAACTTGAAGCACATGATAATGACTAACAGATGTAACACACAGATTTTCTTCTTAACTAGTTTATCCTGGTTAACAAATTGGTTTACAAATAAACCAATTTAGCAATATTTAAATCTACTATACTTTGAAGAGTAAAAAAGAATGCAGCTTCAAATCTAACAGGAGTTTTTTCTCACATTAATGACAGTGATTTAGCCTGTATCATGATATTGATACTGTTAATGGTTAATGCTGTAAGTAACTGGCTTCAGTAAATCCCTATGTTCCTACTACTGTGAGCTTTAGTTAGCAAGACTGCAACACAATCTGATAGTCTTTCCCGAAGTGCCTCTCTGCCCAAGATTATGAAAAACTAAGTTAGACAGATTTAGTTTGTCTAGCTTTTGTTCCTAACACAAAGTTTTGAATGGTTTTTCCTCAAAGAGAGAGGAATAAATAATACGAGTGTTTATTCTGGCTAGCATGAAAATTGTCTTCCTAGTGCATTCTCTTCTCAGTGCAATTCTTTACCCCACTATGCCAAGGTGCAAAAGCTGAAATTTAGCCAACCACTCACTAGGAACCCATTCTATGTGGACCCACACACACTCCAAAGCTAAAATCTTCAGAAACTCAACTAGTAATATAAGGATATGAAAAACCCTAAGATTACCACAGTTGACAATCACTACCAGGAGCTTTTTAACTTTTTTGACCACAACCCTTAGTAAGAAACACATTTCATTATCACAACTCAGCGCACACATAATGTGTAAAACATGTAACTGAAATAAAGGATCATGAAACAGTATTTACCCTTAAACAACACAAGATGCCCTTGGATATTTTCTATTCTTTTTCTTTCTTTAAGAAAGGGGTTCTCCCTTTGTTACCCAGGTTGGTCTTAAACTCCTGAGCTGAAAGGACTCTCCCACCTCAGCCTCCCAAAATGCTGGGATTACAGTCGTGAGCCATCATCATGGCAGATACCTTCTATTATTTAAAACTGCTCATCATTAGCTCAGTTTCTTTCACAACTCAACAAGTGGGTCCTGATACATGTTTGATAAAAGACTAGACTACAGCAAAGGGCTGTCCAGCTTCCCCATCATTCTACAGGTTTCTGGATTGGAGCTTTCTAATGCACTTCTCTCCACTAACTACATACCATGTGCCAGACAGTGTTCTGAAGGTTTTAAAAATAAAAAGAAATATCTAAGGAAGATCTTAACTTCAAAGAGTCTTTTAGTAATGGAGTGAAAACCTACACTGGAATCCTAAGAGATAAAGTAACATGGGAATTTGGAGGACAAAGGTTTGTTCCAGCAGGGGATAAATCAACAAGGCTTAAACAAAAAAGGTACTATTTGAAGTGTTTTTGTTTTTTCTTTGCTATCAGATGTCTGCAGGATGAACTGGTCTTAAGTGAGAGAAAGATTTAGCTATGTGATGATATGGAAGAAGGTGAAGTACTACAAATCACGAGAGCATAAAAACAAGAACAGAAATATTTCAGCATGTGAACAGCAGACTAAAAGGTCCCATATCTGAAGAAAAGCTACGGGCCAACTCCTGTCTCTCAAAATGCCAAACAAATTCTTCTGCAGATTGGTGGAGATCTGAAAGGTGTTTAGCAAAAAAAGTGACTGGATTATAATGCTTTTTAGAAAGATGCCAAGCAAAAGTATTTAGTAGTTTTGAAGTGACCAGTACATACCTATTTTTAAATCCTAAGGTTAAAACATCTATCCCAGGCCAGGATGCAGTGGCTCATGCCTGTAATCCCAATGTTTTCGGAGACCAAGATGAGAGGATGGCTTGAGCTCAGGAGTTCCAAGTTACAGTGAGCTATGATTGCGCCACTGTACTCCAACCTGGATAATAGATGAAAGCCCTGTATCCAAAAACAAACAAAACAACTTTTCAAAGGCAATTATCAATGTTTTTTAGACTATTCAAGCCATATCATCTCATCTGCTAATGCAGATGGATAACATGATGATCAAATGAAATAAGAAAATGATTTAAACAACAATCAAAAACTCTTCCTAAAAAGTGAAAATAAAACCTGTCCCCAAAGTTTTAGTAATTGAAAGAGCACTGGAATACGAGTTTTCTGAAACCTACCAGTTGTATAACCTTAAATGTGAATTTAGAAATGAGCACCAGATACTGAAGACCTCCTCTATGTGCCAGAGGATGCACCAGAAGATTCACATGAGAGAAAATAATTCAGAGTCCTAGGACAAAAATCTCCTCTTCTTCCCCAAAGAACTCAGCCACTTCCCCAAGGAACTCAGCAGAACCCATTAAAACAAGTCAGAAACTCGTTTTTTCAATCTTAAGAAAAAATAAGAGTTCTAGATCCCTTCTACTTGAACCTCCACACAAAATAATAACGGTTTCCAAAATATTCCTTAGCAACTCACACAAGTGGTTTACCAACTGGGTTTCCCCCACTAAACTATCACTACTACTGCCCACTTCCCTATCCCATCTTTCCACCTCAAACAGTATAATTTGCTTCCTCAGCACATGCTTCTCTGCAAGCAATGCTCTTCCATCTGAAGAATTACCATCATTCTTCAAGGCCAATCAAAAGTGCAGCGCTGAAAAGCCTTTCACGGAGGCTAGCTCACGCAATGATACTTCACAGCACTGAACTTGGCCCCTTTATAGCACTAAGGTATTAACTACCTGTTCACATGTCAATTTCCATCAGGTACGCACAGTTCTTATTTACCTCTATGCATTCCTTCCCCAACACATGGATTATATCTGACATATACTAACTGCTGGATAATTGGTTGGCAACAGCAACCTCTCAACCTAAGGAAAACCTCACAACGCTGTTAAAGTTTCTAAACATTTGCTGAGAAAACGTTAACCCAGGATAACAAAGTGTATCAGAATAAAATAAACCAAGAGATGAGTGGACTGAGTCAAACCTGACAAAAAGTAACACAGAAAGGTGAAAGCAAAAACAAAGGACCCCCTTCCCTCAAAAAATGTACTACATTCACACGGGAGGGATAATTCACAAAATGAGCAGTGGTTAAGACTAATAATATGAAAAGCAAGTTGCGCAGCCTCCGGGAAAAAGAATACGCAGGACTATCAATCTTCTAAGAGTGAGGTTCCAGGCACCGAACGGACTGGTCTTACAGCCCGGGCAAGAAAGGAAGACCGCTTGGTTGGGCTCCAAGACTGAGGTGTGCGGTCCCGCTTCGGCGAACGGGGCGGGGGGGAGAGGAAATGACGAGCCAAAAGGGGTGGTAACGGCGCCAGGCCGGAGACTCGGGCGGAGCGGGCTGGGAGGTGGGGCGAGGCGAAGCAAGGGGAATGGGCGAACTGACGGCCCCCACTCCCCGCCAGGGAGACTGCGGGGGCGGGCCCGTAGGGCTCCGAGGCGACAGCGGGCCAGCCCCCATTGCCAGCCGCACTAGGGGCCCCGCTGCCGCGACTCGCACCCTCCCCAGGCCTCTCCTTCCGACCTAGAGGGACTGTAGACAGAGGGACCAGGCTTGCGGGGGGTGGGGAGCGCGGGCCCCGGGGAGGCTTCCAGTCCCAAGGGCCGGAGCGTGGAGATTATAAGGGCGGGTTTAAATGTGCAGCCAGAATGACCAGGAGAAAATCGCGGAGGCCCAGGGAGCGCGTGGCTCCAGGTCTGGGGCCTGAGAACCTGGGCCTAAGAGTCGGGGAACGGGGACGCATTCCCAACTGGCCCTGGCACTCTGCGAAGGTCGGGGCCCCGAGGTGCCTGCTCCCGGGGTGCCATCCCGGCGCGGGGCGGCCCCTGCAGGCCTCGGGCGGGAGTGCCCCGAGGCACTCGCAGACTCCGGGTCGGGGCCGCCGGCCGCCCCACTCGGCTAGGCTCAGCTCGACTCCCGGGGCTCGACAGGCGCCTGGGCCTCTCCTGAGTGGTCAGCGAGACCCGCCAATCGGGGCGCTGGGGCCGGCTCTGGGCCGCTGGATATTGGCTCCTCACACTCACCGTGCCTCGCTCCCCCGGTTCGCTGCCCGCGCTGATTGGCTCCAGTACCGGACTCCGAAACCCAATCAGAGGCTCCAGCCGCCGCTGCCGCCGCCACTGCCGCTGCCTCGCAAAATGGCGAACCTGAACAAAGGGGAATCGGGCCTCCCTCCAACCGCCTTCGCGCAGGCGCCTCTGAGACCACGCCCCCTAACTCTAGTTCTGGGCTCGCCCCACCCCTTTGGAGGAGCAACGCGCAGGCGTCCCCGGCAGCCACGCCCACCTCCTGATTTAACATCACCTCCAGTCGAAGAAATACGCAGGCGCCTTCAAGAATCGCCAGACCCTTCAACTCAAAACACTACCTTGAGCTTAGTACTACGCAGGCGCTAACTAGCCCCTTTGCCAACTGCCCACCCCTTTCTAGGAGGCCACTAGGACACACCCCTGAGGCTAATACGCAAGCGCTACCCTTCCTCACTTGTAGTGGGCATTCTCGTTACGCATGCGCGGGCGGCGGCGGGAAACCACGGAATTTACTGCCGGAAGTTCGGCGGCCATCGCCAAAGAGTGTGGGCTCGGCTAGCAAGCTAGAGGGGCTCGTTTCCGCCCCGCTATCGGGCGGGGGCGGCCATCTTAGGTGCGTGCAATTAAGGGCTGTGGCGGGATTGGCTCCGGGTTTGGGCTGGTCCGCTGCTCCCCACCTACCAGGGTCGTATCCGGAGCTCTTCCCCGCGGGGCGGGGGACCTCCGAACAGCCGACTCCTTTCCAAGTGAAGGGTGGCTCGGGTAAGTTGCGGCTTTGAGCGAGCCTCCCCGCACCCTCCATAGGACCCCAGGACAGACCCTGCGTCCTCGTGGATCCGCCCTAGAGTAGGAGACAGAGAATGGGAGGCTCCTCTAGACTCTTTCCTTCTCCCATGCACCGCCCAAAAAAAAAAAGAGGGAGGTGAACGTTCCTTGAGAGGCCGCCTTCCTTTCTCCACGCCTGGGGCTCACGCTTGTACCCGGTACATTCCGGTTGTGGCTTAACGGGACTGTGGCCAAGTCCTTCCTGTTTTCTTCTAAGCCAAACCCACGGGGGAAATACTTCTGAGTCGTGCAGAGAAAAGGGGAGTGTCCTAAATCCTCCTTGCTCGGGAGCGGCAGTGGAGAAAGGAGGAGGCGTGTCTTAAGATGGGCTTTGCTTCGGCTGGCGGAGCGGGGCGCTCCAGGAAAGCGCCAAATGAGAGCAGATCCAGGCAGCCTCCGAACCTAAGCGTTTTTTCTCTTTGCTCCAGAAGAGTTTTGAATTACTTCCCAGGGGCCGAACGAACTCGCATTCATCGATTAAACGTTGGCGTAAAAATCCTATTAAGTGGGTGTACAGTGCAATCAATATTACATACTGAGACTGCCTGTTTTTACTTTCTTTTTTCTTCTCATAGCTGAAGAAACACTTAAATTCTGGAAATAGCGACTCAGTATCATGGCCAGCAGTCTTAATGAAGATCCAGAAGGAAGCAGAGTGCGTAACAACTATTCACTTATTGGTGAACTGAAATTCATAGTGCAGGTCAAAAGCCTAAACACTTTTAATTACTTTCCTTTTACACATGCTGTAATTCATTGTGGTTAAGTCAAATCCTGCAGATTTGGCTTTAAATCAAATTGCAGGAAGGGGGGTACAGGGAGAGGTAGTGGTGGGGGACAAAATACATAGCTTAGTATTTTTCTGCATCTAATAAAACATTGTCTTTTCCTTTGCACATTTTTTAGATCACTTATGTGAAAGGAGACCTTTTTGCATGCCCCAAAACAGACTCTTTAGCCCACTGTATCAGTGAGGATTGTCGCATGGACGCTGGGATAGCTGTCCTCTTCAAGAAGAAATTTGGAGGGGTAGAAGAACTTTTAAATCAACGTGAGTTTTGGAAACCGATTACCTGGTTTGCCCTGGCTAGAGCACCTCTTGATCTGTTACACTTTAATAAACAAGATACACGTGTAAAGAGGGGATTCCTAAGAACCAAATGTTTTTAGATTTTTCCTCCCCAAGAATGGCCTCTAGTTTGGACCCTTAACATATCAAACCTGAACTCCTATGAAGGTTTTTAATCTCTTTCTCCTCTATCATAAAACCTTCTTCACGATATTACTGCACTTCTCAGAAACTTGTAGTAACTCTGAAATGCTTAGCACAGTCTATAGGTTGGCATTTAAGATCTTCTACTTACCAATGCTCTGCTTTTTCTTCAAAGAGGAATTTAGAAACCTCTTCTTCCTTACAGACCCCTCCCATCCCTTTCTACTGGTGACTTTAAACCAGAAACGTGCACTAAAGTCCTATTGTGAAGCTTCTGAAAGTTTCTCAGACCACATTCCAGGCTGACAGAATCAGTGTCCACAGTGATTCTTAGCCTTAAACAAAGGCAATTTCTTACTGCTTTGTATTGTAGGTATTTATAACAATTATACTTTCTCTGGATTGAAAATTCTGTCCTAATTCCTTTTTTATATGTCTGTGTTCCTTGTAATGCCTTATACAGCTCTTTTTATGTAAAAAGATAATTATTGAATAAATACACATTTGGCAAATAAACTATACATTCCAAAACAATTTAAAGGTAATAGACAAAGTTTGTGGACAAGTGAGGGTTTATTTGAAAGTAGAAGCAGGACAAAAGTTGGGTTGTGAGGAAACATTTGTTAAACAGTTGTAAGTTAGGGAATGTAGTATTTGGGAATGCTGATAAAAAGCAAAGTGTTTGTGGGAGACAGTAGGTCTTCCCTATTCCCTTCAATGTTGAAAATTAGTTCTGAGGTAAACTTGTAAAGATTTAAAAATCTAAGAATAGAGATGAGTGTTTGGGTTGCTTTTTCATTTCTACTATTAAATAACTTTTTCTTAGAAAAGGAATCTGGAGAAGTGGCTATTCTGAAGAGAGATGGGCGATATATATATTACTTGGTAAGATGGGACCAACCCTTTTTCTTTTTTTTCAGGGCCGATTCTTAATACATTTTAAGGATTGGTGAACAGATGGACTACACTGCATTTGTGTTGATCATGATGTTCCATTCTAGACAACTAAGAATGTCAAAAAGCTTCCTATCTTATGACTACTCAGGTCCAGTGATGGCAGCTACTTGGAGCACTGGGTTAGAAAGGAATGTGAGGTGACATCCCAGCTGTGTGGGAAAGTCCTGTGCCATTTACCATAGGCTTGTTTTGAGACTTGCAAACCTTAGGAATGCCTCCTATACTGTATTTCCTAAGCAGAGTGAGGTAAAAGCAATAATGTCTCAAGAGACAGAGCCCTCAAAGGAGCTTTTCTCTTACTCCATGTCAAATAGCACACTGACAGCAAGGGAGTGAAAAAAAAATAAGTGCAGTGCCAAATAATACCTAGCTCCTCTCCTAACTACTGCTTGAATGTGGGGTTCTTCAACAGTCCAAGATGTTATTTGGTCCCTGAAAGGGTATGGCTTCCTTGGTGATGGTGGTGGGTAACTTACAGCTAACCCCCTACAAGCCTGATCTGTATGGCAGACTGAGTAGGGAGATGTCCTAACCCCTTTGAATTCTGTCCTTAAAGCTTATGTGGCTTCCAGTGTTTTTACTTTGGGACACTACCAGTTTTTTCTGTTTTATATAAAGAGACATCAAGCAAGCAAGCATAGTTGCTAAATAAAGAGAGACCTTTTTTTTAATCAGGAAATTTTCAGGTGGTATGCGTTCTTCCTTGTTACAGATATGCAGCTTATCTCTTAGAAGTGGCACAGAGAATTTTACCTACCTTGCTTAAAAATATTGACATTAGACACCACCTGCTAATCTTGGGTTTCCTGGGAAGAGGAAAGATTACTACGTGGCAGAATCTGGGTTTCTCAGTCTTTACTTAGTGGATTTCTTGAGGATCTCCCGTAACAGTGTGGAAGGGGCAATATGACGTGACATTTGTCATCCTTGCTCTAGACTAATTCAATTAAAAATGCCCTTTTTTCATTATTAGGATGTTGGGGGAATGGGATGATTTTCTTTGGCTATCAATTTGGGATGAAAGTTTGAATCCTTTGTGTTCAGATTACAAAGAAAAGGGCTTCGCACAAGCCAACTTACGAAAACTTACGGAAGAGTTTAGAGGCAATGAAGTCTCATTGTCTGAAGAATGGAGTCACCGACCTCTCCATGCCCAGGCAAGGAAATCTATGGCCCTAAATGGAGATTTAATTGATTAGTGGGGTTTACTGTCTTACCCAAAGACAACTTAAAAGCTTAACCCAAAACGCAGATTTAAAGGTGGACAAAAGTCAAAATTTTGTAAAACCACCAGTAAACCAGTTGTCTGGGCTTAGGCCAAGACACAGCCATTTTCTAGCTTGAGTTGAATGTATCATGACAATTACACACCTGTCGGCCGGGTGCGGTGGCTCAAGCCTGTAATCCTAGCACTTTGGGAGGCCGAGGCGGGTGGATCACGAGGTCAAGAGATCCAGACCATCCTGGTCAACATGGTGAAACCCCATCTCTACTAAAAATATAAGAAAATTAGCTGGGCATGGTGGTACGTGCCTGTAATCCCAGCTACTCGGGAGGCTGAGGCAGGAGAATTGCCTGAACCTAGGAGGTGTAGGTTGCAGTGAACCGAGATTGTGCCATTGCACTCCCGCCTGGGTAACAAGAGTGAAACTCTGTCTCAAAAAAAAGAAATACACACCTGTCTCAGCTTAGCAGAGAGGAACCATTGTTATTCAGTCACATTTGTTGAATTCTTAGCACCCTCTGCGTGAAGCTGGACCTCTATTCCTGAAGCAGTATAGGCTAAAGAATCAAGACTGAATAGTGGTGGTTTCCCTGTTGGACCACTTCCTGTCTCCCAGACCTATTACTTTGTGTCAGGAACGTTGTAAATTGTCACTGTCTTTTATACTGCATGCTTGTTTGTGGTCAGTGTGGGTAATAGCTGGAGGATCTGTCCCTGATGTAATTTCTTAGACCTTAGCTATTGGGAACTTAAGGGAATGTCTTTGAGGGTTCAGTAGTTCCTTTGTTTTCTTTTCAGGAAATGGGCCTCAGCTCTTCCTGTCACCCTGGTAGTTTTGAGTCAATGCTGAGCATGCATGCAGTTTTATCTCGAGTCCCATATGTTACTTTGAATGTGGCTGCAATATCTCTTATTTTACACTGGTCTTGGATATATATATATATATGGTGTATGTATCAGAAACTTTTTTTAAAATCACAGTTCTTTACCGACTTAATTATCAAATTATGAGATGAAATTAGCAATTTTGAGTCTCTTTTTCTGTAGGGATGTTGAGTATCACTAGAGTAACATCTTGGAAGGTGTCAGGTAGTAGAGTTTTATGGACTGAGTTTACTGAGTTTATTCTCACCAAGGTGTTGCAAAAACCTTATTCCTGGATTGCAGCCATTTTGCCATTTCCTAGCATTCCATCTTGATTCTTTTTTGCAGAGATCCTGTACCTCATCCCTTTTCTCCTTATTTTTGTTAACATTCTGTACCGTAAGTGTATTTTTAAAATACCAGCCTTTCCCCATCCATCCACAGCCAATTTTAGTCAGTAGTCATAGAGGGAAAATGAGTCTCCCATGCCATGACAGTTACACATTTCTAAATGTAATATGAAGTGGTTGGAAAGTGGTATCTTATTAGACAAAAACAAGCGATAGTTTTTAGATGTCATTCCTGTCCAGGAATGGTCTTAGGTGACTCACAACAAGAATTGACTTCCAGACTCCTACCATGGTTGCCTATAAGGGTGTGACACTAGATTATTTGTTTTTATGCTTTGAGTGGATATAGCTGACAAGAGAGAAGGAGCAGATTCCCATATATTTTCATCACCATCAATGGAGATATTTTCTTTTTCAGAATTGGATGTGGTCTTGATCGTCTGCAATGGGAAAATGTATCTGCGATGATTGAGGAGGTATTTGAGGCAACAGACATCAAAATTACTGTGTACACACTCTGAATCAATAAACATTTTGGATGTTTCCATGTTCTGTGTCACCTTGACTGGGCAGACCTACGTTAAAATGAGCAGAGGAAAGTTTCATGGGAAGTAGTCTGTTTCACAAGACAAACTTCGGTTGCTGTATTCAAGTACTTGGACTAGGACTGTGGAGGAGGGGTTGCTTATGATATATTCCTTGGTTTTTTTTGCAGAAAAGTAAGGAGTGGGTGGCCTGATAATAGGCCTGGAAACTGGATTGTTGGGACTGACCTTTGTTTTGCTCCAGTATTCTACCTGATTTGTTTGGCTGGCCGCTAGGTGGCAGCATTGGTTCTACGTCTCTGCTTTTTAAGAGAAATTTCAGGAAAGATGATCATTCCAGTTAGTTTGGCATTTTTTTGTCGTTTGCGCACATAACTTGGTGTTATCCTTATGTCATCAGAATCCTCTGAGGGGAGAGTTTTCATTTTAATTGCACAATTCTACATTGTTAACAAAAAATTTGTGGTGATAAAAAAATGGAAAAATAAATCTTTGGGGGATTTAGGAGGTTCTGTGCTTATGTCTGTTTTTTCTGGTCTTGGGTAATGGAGGATTCACCTGCAGCTTAATTTCAAACAGTCAGACAAAGAGTCCAAGTGGGAGGAAAAGCAAAGTGAAAAATAAGAAAATTGGACAAGTCAAAAGGCAGGTTTTTAGAATCTCCTCATGGTGAACTTTTTCTCTCTTTTGTCCACTGCATGGTTTCTGTGATTGAACCTGTCTGAATTTAATCATTAAAACAAGTGAAATAATATATGTCAAATGCCTAGCAGAGTATTTAGCACAGAGTAGTGACCAATCAATCGGTGATTCTCAAAAATCCATATGAATCTTCTGTAAAAAATAAAGGCCACTTCCTCTCAAAAAATTCTCACATCTGTTATCCCAGCACTTTGAGAGGCTGAGACTGGAGGATCTCTTGAGCCCAGGAGTTTGAGACCAACCTGGGTATCATAGCGAGACCTTGCCTCTAGAGAAAAGAGAGAGCTCGATGTGTTGGTGCACGCCTATAGTTCCAGCTACCTTAGAGGTTGAGGCAGGAGGGGATGGCTTGAGCCTGGGAGGTTGAAGTTGCATTGAGCTGTGGTTGTGCCACTGTACTGTAGTGTGGGCAACAGAACAAGACCCTGTCTCAATTAAAAAAACGTATAATTTGGTGGTGGAGTTGGTTGGCCGCTTTTGTGTTTTTAACCTCCATAGAAGATTTGGATGCGTAGCCAACTGGGATCTAAATAGTCCCCTTTACTTCCGAAGCTACAAAGACCAGTCCTCTTTTGTGTTCTTGGTGAGAAAATAAAGTTCATGGATTTAGCCAGTGGTTCAGTATCAGAGCTATTGGGGAAACTAGATGTTTTCTTTTTTCCCCCTTACTGTGGTGTTGAAAAACAGCCAGACTTGCTATTGATTTTCTCCCCAGAGTGACTTTGGGACTGTCACAGGACTTGCTGCTTTCCCAAGTATAAAAGAACAACTGTATTTTAGAAGGGGCTGGTTTAAACACCAGGAAAGTACTGGTTAAATATAATCTTTGTACTTTAGACTTGTGTTTTTATCACGTATCAGCCTGATAAGAGGCAACAGGTTAAAAAATTAATTCACTTTTGTATTTCTAGGCAGAACAGACAAGTTCTTCATGTTGTTGGGGTAGGGGCAGTGGAGGGTCAAGTTCGTTATCAAACTTTTAGATTGAAGCTTTTCTTGAAGTGTTGCTTTTGTCCACATAAAATTAAGGGAAAAAGGAAGGAGAGATTGTCTAAATACACAAAATTGAAAATGAGAGTGGGGGATAAGTAGAAACTTAAAGAAACTTACAGTATTTTGTTTAACTCTGCAATTACAGATGCTCCTCAACTTACGTTAGGGCTATGTCTGGGTAACCCCATCTTAAGTTGAGTTCAGTTGAAGAGTGTATTGAATGTGTGTGGCTTTTGCACCATTGGAAAGTCAAAAACTTGCAAGACAAACCATTGTAAATTGGGTACCATCTGTAAATCTTAACACAAGTCAAAACATGGATTTTCTAGATTTCCTTTACTTTTAAAGAGATTATGGTTATTTTAATTTTTTTTTTTTTTTCATGGAGTATGAGCCTTCATTCTTCAAACAAAACCTAGTCTCATCCAGGATTGGCTGTAAGTAGAATTCTGGGACTTGGCAGGAATGTACTTTGTTATTTGCAGATAGTAGTCTTGGGTCAAATTCCGATGACTTATCACACTTGAAGCCTGGGGAAGGAAGGCATGTCCCGGTAATCAGAGTGAACACATTATTCCTGGAAACGTAGTTAGAGTTTGGCAAACACCCAGGAATTTACTTGTGAATTTTTGCTTCCACATAGGACTCAAACAATCCTTTAAAAAATGAGACTTGACATCATCCTGCCATTATCATCAAACACCACATATTGAATACTTTAAAATGACTGTGTATCTGAACATTAAACTCCTACTTTTCACCCGCTCCTTGCTAATCAAGAATCTAATTGCTTATTAATTGGTATTTGGGATGTGGCTACCTTGGATTTCTCATGCTTTTTGTTCCACCTTCTACTGTATTACTTGCCTACAGAGAAAGAAAAAGGCCCTCATTTGACTGCGGTAAGATGTCTGTATGGGAGAGTTATTCTGTATTGTCTAGCCAAGTCCTGGTTTAACCTTCCCTCCCACTTCGTAATGTTATGACTTGGTTCATAGCCTGGGGCGTCCCTGTGTCTGGGACTGGCTCAGTTGTCTGTGGTAACTTTGAAATATTCAAGTTTCTTAATCTGGCCACGGGAAAAACACACCACTTTTATTAATGTTGTTGTTTTTCTTTTTTAAAAAAAATACTCAAAATGCACATTTCAGAAATCTAAACCTTGGGTCTGAGGCTGTTTGCATTAAGCAGTCCCCTTGGGTGAGCAGTTAGGACCTTCAGTCTCATAGTTGACTGGTGCCCATGTATGGTTGCATTTCTCTCCTTGCAGGTCACTTTCCTCCTTCCCAAGAGCAGCATTAGAGAGAGAGGCACAGCCTAAATGAACTACGGCATGAGAAGTATATTTCAAGTCCTCTAAGGGCCTTGTTCAGGAAGATTGGTTGGTGTCGAATGTTGTCCAGCTCCAAATGGTATTAGGCAGGCATGTCCCAGATGGCTATACATGTCACTGCTGTCTCTGGATGGCAGCAGGAAGACCTTGGTAAAACAAAAAAGAAAATGTGTTACTGAGAGCCCTGCTGGCCCCCAACAATGACTAGTTTCTTTTTGAACTAAGGTTTCTGTGTGCCCTTCCCAACAAGTCCCTGAATTTCTCATAGTTTCCTTTGGTTTCTGATTTACCCAGGATCGAGTAAATTGACCAGGATTGAGTAAATAAGAACCCAATCTTTTATTCATGTTTTGATGTGGTGTACACAGAAAAAGCCCCAGAAGAGATCTTTAACTCTGTTCTTTTGACTAGATATAGGATGAAATACTATTCTGGTTTTTTTTAAATAAACGAAAGATGAAGTAAGAAATATGTAAAATAAGACATTTAATAAATGCTCATTTCTCGAGATAAGAAGGGTTGTTGTTCTTTTGGGCTTTTAGATTACAACTCCATCTCATACCAGTTTTGTTTTTGTTTTTTTAACTTGTTATATCTTTAATCTTTCCCTTCAGAAACATGAGCAATTCAAATAGACAGGGAAGCATGTTAATGGGTCCAGAAAATGCAGTTACATTTGACGGGAGGAGGGTTAAAATTGAAGATGTCTACTAATATTTAAAAATAACCTGACTTCAATATTTTATTTTTCCTCAAATAGTGATTCATTTCTTTTACTTCTGTTTAGATTAGTATAAGATACAACCCTCAATTTAAAATTTAAAATCTTTTAAATCTTCTTTGAAATGCTTAATTTTAATTAAAAAAAATCACTGGGGGAAAAAAAAAAGTCCCAAGGACTTGCTAGTTAGGCAGCTAGGCCCTTGACTCTGAAAGATGTTTAAAAGGAAAGTATACTGCAGTTAAAAGTAAGCTGCCAGTTAGTCTGTAGAGTTTGTGTTGGGTTTATAATTATAATGATAGTACATACACTAACAAAATCCTCAAGGAGTTCTAAAAGTTAAATTTTATATTTTCAGAAGGCACCCTCAGAAATCTGTTTTCACTACTGTTCACCGCTACCGATTGTCAGTGTCTTATTTTATGTGAGCGGAGTACCACAGAGTATGACCTGCCATAGGCTCGCTGAATTCAGTGGCTGGCTTCTGCTTTTTCTGAGAAAGGCCGAAAGTTGTGTCTTTTTTTTTTTTTTCCTGAAAGTTGTGTCTTAATGGGTTGGCAAATGCTCAGCTTGAGAATGATCAGGTCCCCGTGTGCCTGTCTAAGAGAAAACACCTGCCAGCATCAAGCCCTGGAATATTGATATTTCCTAAACATGTCTATGAAACGACATCTTCTGTTAAGGGGTCAGAGTAAGAAAGACCAAAAGTATCCTCATGGAAGCATGTTTTCATGTATTAGTAATAGGTGAGTTGTTGCAGAATTAAATTTGGTAAGAGTGTTGTGAAGACCCCTTCTCTATACTGGAAGATTTTGGTCAGTAACTGGGGCCTTGCAAAGGGGCTTAGTCATAGCATTTTGGTAGGTGCAAACTCCGATCAGACTAAATGCAAAAAAAGATAGTGAAGGATCCCTTAGCCCTCTTTCCTGAGGGTAATTGGCCTGTTTCTCTAAGAGTTTAATTTACCCTCAGCAAGAGGCCAAATTGGCCTTAATTGTGTCCTAATTATTTGCTTAAATAGCTAATTTTTACTTCCAGTTCTCCTATCACCTCTTGCTATCGGTAAGAAGTAACTTCTGAGCTGCTGCCTGATTTATAAACATCTTTTTAACCCTTTAAATATTCCTGCATGGACTAGCTTGTTGCTACATCATCCCCTTTCCTGCATTCGGCATCCCTCATGAATTCTGCTGAGGTCTTCTCAACATAAGGAAAATGTTCTTGTATTATACATTCACATAGAAATTATTGGT